TCTCTTCATTCGGGTCGCGACGAGCGGGAGCCGTTGGATTCGTGCCGTCTGGAGACGGATGCGAGCATTCCGCCTTTCCGGCGTCCGCTCCCCCCGAAGCGGCGATTGCCGCAGCTGCTGCTGCATTGCCTGCATTGTGCGACGCTGCGTCTGTCTTAGTACCCGTCTGGTTTCAGTCAGGCAGCAATAGCAATTCATAGGCGAGGAGCTTTCTGGTCATGTTGGAACCCAAATCGCGAGAATAGGTCTACCCCGAACTCGCCAAGCTTCGGACTTCTAAACGGCTGGCTTCCCAAAAGATATGCTATGAACTGATAAATACACCAAGAATAGGGCTCGCTCGCGCATCAGGCATGTAGGACTGGACTGCTTTGGATGATCACATTTGAGCTCCGACAACTGAGAGTTCGCAGAACAACCAGCCAGCAGCATTCAGCACGTTTTCCCGCGCAATTCCTTCTCGCCTGGTTCCATCGCCCTCGTTTCGTTGTTTTCGCCACATCACTTCTCACCTGTTTCCTTTCGTTCCAGCTAGTAAATTTTCGCGCAACCCCAAGTTCCCATCCCGACCAGTAGAGCGAAGGCGATAAACAGTCACGATTGTTACCCAACGGTCACCCCCAAATCAAGTATATCTCGTAAAATCCAATATGGGGGACAGATTTCAGAAACTACATGAGCAGAGTTAAACAGGATACTAAATATATACCAGTGCTAAATATATACCAGTGCAGCACATGTACCCTTACGGCGTGCTGATAGAGGACCCTTGAGGTGCCTCAAAAGTGGTGCACGTTCTACTACTCCTATCCTATGGAACGATAGGAAGTTGAGGGCCACTAACAGCCTCTTGCATTGCACGGGCCATCTCAGCACTGAAGTCATATGAGCCATCAGAACCTCCAATTTCCGTGTCGATGCCAGAAACCTCCGCGCTCACCCGCACCCCAAACGTCTCCTGCTTTATCCTCACCAGCTCAGCAAGCACTTGGAGCATGGAGGGACGGGAAACCCCAGGCAGAGCAGTGCAGGAGAGGGCAAGGCGAGCCAAGCGCAGCACCACACCATCCGGTGCTTCCAAACGAGGGTCCTTGAATTCTGCCACTGCTCCAGAGATCACCAGTGGGGCTACCTGCCAGGTTGAAATAAAGTTGGCATACGAAAAAGGCTTTTTAAAAAGCAGGAGTGTTGCATGAAGAGCGAATCTGTCAATACATTAGAATAAGAGTATAGGTAGCAGGAAAACGGTGTATTAACGAGGAGGATGTAGACGCATGGGATGGGTGAGTGATTGGAAATGAAGGTTTGCGGTTTGAAAGAGCATGCGCTAGGGAGAGGAGCAACAAGGTAGACAGCAGTAGGATAGGATAGCTGATTGTGTGACAGGTGCAGGGTGAAACAAGATATCATCGTAATACTCACCTTGCTCAATATGGCATGTGTCCTGTGGAGAAAGGAAGAGAGGATCACATGAACCAGCCTACACGTTTCCGGTCAAGGTGGTAAGCAAGTAAACCTATTCAATGTGTGTAGTTGCGGAAGTGCACTTGGACTTAGCAAAATGGTGTTAGTGCCCCCATTTGGACGTTTTCTAGGCTTTGTGTGAGGTATGCCTCACCCATCTCTTGATATTGACGTGGTCGTCCTCTATAACAAGCACAGCCTTGCGGCCCGTAAGCACCACCAGCATCACCACGCCAAAACTGCAATCAAGGCACCCAGAAAGGACGTCATATGTGAAACGATGCTCACGTGTGACACCTCAAGAAGACGCATTGGACAGTCCCCATAGAAAAAACATCATCAATATGACCTTCACAATACTTGTGTCCCAAACCCCCATCCTAAAGTGGCCAAGAATTTCAGAGCCTTTGATTGGTCAGGCATGGCAAGCATGCCTCAAATGCCAGCCACGGACAGCCACTAAGAAACGAGGCAAAAAAAAACACGGTGAAGGTAAAAAAACCACAGAACCCGGAACCTTTTTGCAAACATAAGATGCCTGTTGGATGGTTATTTCGTCCCAATCTGCTCACCTGTACCAATCTTCTGACCTGCACCAATGTGCTTATCCATGCTGTGCCAATCTACTCACCTGTACACATCAACAGCAGGAGAAGGCTTGTGAGAGCTGCAGTATTCAGGGTCCATATAGCCCAGTGTTCCCACCAGTCGGGTGGCAGACTCCGATGCGGCCATAGATGTCCCTCCAAGCAGCTTCACAAGCCCAAAGTCCGCAACCTTTGCCTGCCCATAATCAACCACAACAATAGCATCATCATGCAACATGAATCTAGCTTTGACGCGCCTCGAAACCACACGGTTTCAAAAGACCAAAGTTGGCAAACTTTGCCTGCACATCATCAACCGCAACAGCATCATCATGCAACAGGAGATTTCGTGACGTGACTCTATGCTGGCCTGTTCAAAATATCCCATGATGGTAGAAAAAGATGAACAAAACGGATAAACAAAGCACCTTCTTCCACATGCAACCCGGCTTTGATGTTTTGAGCATGCCTGCATTTTTCCATCAAGGAGAATGTTGGCTGGCTTGATGTCGCGATGCACAATCTTAAAGTCGTGAAGATACTGCAACCCCTTGGCCACTCCAATCAGAACGTCCAGCCTTTGTTGCAGCGAAAGAGGGTTGGAAACACCATCACCGATCCAACGGTCAAGGTCGCCGTTGGGCATGAACTCATAGACAAGAAGCTGCTCCATGGTTCGTGTGGACGGGTCAAAGTCGATGCAATAGCCCAACAGACGCACGAGATGCGGATGGCTCTTGCTTGCCATCTCTTTCACCTGGAGAAACACGAGATGAAGCATGGAGAGAGATGTAAATACTGAGAATGCGATTCGTTCACATTGAATTCAGTGCAGTAGCCCAACAGACGTGACGCACGAGATGCGGATGGCTCTTGCTTGCCATCTCTTTCACCTGATGGGGGGGAAATGATGGTAAACAGATGAAATGAGAAGGAACAATCCAATGAACAATCAAGTGATGGGACTTGGCACAAGAATCCAGCAAGGGACGTGGTACCAACCTGAGTGGAGAAAGACGCATGCGTCCTGCTGCGTCCTGCGTCTGGACGCAGCGTCCAGACACAGAGACGCAGGACGCACCCCGTTTTTTTTTTCGGGCTGACCGGGAAAAAAAATTGCCTCAGCGCGAAATTGACTTCAACGATTTCGACTCGACTGTCAATTTCGCGTCATGTCGACCTCCCCTAACCCATTTCGACCATCAAAAACACCCTAGAGGGTTTACCAAGACAATTCTCCTTCGTAAACCCTAAACCCTGAAAATTTAAAGGGGACGATTTTGCCTCAAATGTGTGCATCGTCGTCCCCCGCCCCTTCCCATACCCTATAACATCTTTTTTCGGCTGCCCGGGGGTTTTTTTTGCCCTGCCTGGGCATGTTTTTTTTCATGCGTCCTAAAGGCCCTCCTCTAGCGTCCTGCGTCTAAGACCCTGCGTCTGGACGCAAGCGTCCTAGACGCAGGACGCGTCTTTCTCCACCCAGGTACCAACCAACCAGAACTTACAACATGATACCTATCTCTTGAATTAGATTAGGATTCTCAAAGCCGACTCACCTCTCTATGGAAGTCGTTTGTGAGCACTCGAGCTCGTTTGACTGCCCAAGCTTGATTGCAACCGTGGGGAGAAACAGCCTTGTACACAGCCCCAAAGCCACCACTTCCTATCCTGTTCCCCTTTGCCCACTCTCCTGTGGCCTTTGTCAGATCTGCCAGAGAGTATTCTTGACAGACGTATGGCTGTGCTACTTCCATCTCCACCACAACACCACCACACTGCTCCCTTCGTGCTGCTGCTGCTGCTGCTGCTGATGGTGATGGTGGTGGTGCTACTGCTGCAGCAGCTGCAGCCGCCCCTTCTGCTGCTGCTGATGGTGGTGGTGCTGCAGCAGCTGCTGCAGCCAGCTGCAGCCGCCCCTTCTGCTGCTGCTGATGGTGGTGGTGCTGCAGCAGCTGCTGCAGCCCCTTCTGCTGCTGCTGATGGTGGTGGTGCTGCAGCAGCTGCAGCCGCCCCTTCTGCTGTTGCTGATGGTGGTGGTGCTGCAGCAGCTGCTGCAGCCCCTTCTGCTGCTGCTGATGGTGGTGGTGCTGCAGCAGCTGCTGCAGCCCCTTCTGCTGCTGCTGATGGTGGTGGTGCTGCAGCAGCTGCTGCAGCCCCTTCTGCTGCCGCTGCTGGCGGTGGTGCTACTGCTGCAGCAGCTGCTGCAGCCCCTTCTGCTGCTGCTGATGGTTGTGGTGCTACCGCTGCAGCAGCTGCTGCAGCCCCTTCTGCTGCTGCTGATGGTGGTGGTGCTACTGCTGCAGCAACTGCTGCAGCCCCTTCTGCTGCTGCTGATGGTGGTGGTGCAACTGATGCAGAACCTGCTGCTGCCCCTGCTGCTGCTAAATCCTCCTCACAGGGAGCTTCTGTAAAGGGAGAGGAGGGGATGAGAGAGAAAGCGAGACATAGAGCAAAGTAAAGGGCCTGGAATACCCACCACACATATTTTAGTACAGCAAGGGCCAGGAAGGACCGCCACCCACCATGGCTCAGGGGACAAATGATGCAACATTGGGATCAAAGCCAAATGCGTGGTCTACAAGGAGACGAGATTCCTACTATCTCTGGCTAACCAGCAAACCAGTTCACCGACCATTTAGCTTTGCCACCAAAACTCCAAACGATTTCTCAGGCACCTCCAAAAGACCTTTTTCTGAATCCAAATGACAGCACCTCAAAAAAGACCTTTTGGCTCTGCCACCCCTGATCCAAACAGTTTTGGAGGGGCGTAAAAACAAAATATTGCCTCTTCCGCCCCAAAGCCAACCAAATCCAAACCAAAGTTGTGTAGATGTGCCATGTCCCAGTGACGGATCTGATCTCCTAGCAAGAGTTTCATGCACGCATGAAACCCGGCTTACCTACTTTCTTGGGATTCTTTGCCATGGTATTGAAAACACACGGCTACAAATGACCATTCAGCAGCTCCATCTGCCCGGACGGCGGGTGTGGTCCATTTGCCAAGCAGAATCACTCCCAACCCAAAATATCTTCACATCTGCGCACTACCGCATTCCATCTCGGCCCGAACCCGATGTACGAAAGAGAATGAGGTCGACGTTTGCGACATCTTCTCCTTGTGGACCTGATTCTATCTTCAAAACCCTAGATCTAGATCTAACTCGCCCCCATGTCAAGAAGTCATCCTGGCAAACAAGAAGTCGCCCTCATGCACTTCGGTTACAAGCATTACTGTTTTTCAGCAAGAATGAAAAGAGCAGTAGGGGGTGTGAAGTGTCACTAATGCAATCACGTGTTCACTGCTGATTTCGCTGTGAGGAAGCCAGGCACCCCCCTCTCCCCATCAAATTTGTTGAAACAAAAAATCATAACCAATTCGCCGCCACTTACCACTCGTCACCACACTAGATCTACACAACCCAACCCCCAAATGCAATTTCACAGCTCACGACATTGAGCTCAGCCCAACCCTAGGATGTCCAAGTGATGTCAGCTACGTTGCTTGACCTTGCGAGTGTTGGCAGCACGGTCTGACCTTGCGAGTGTTGGCAGCACGGTCTGACCTTGCGAGTGTTGGCAGCACGGTTGAGCGACCCCACACCACCTCGCCCCACCTTGAGCGACACCACCTCGCCCTCCATGAACCGAGGGGAGGAGAGGTTGGGGTGATGTGACGGGCAGCAAGACAGTGGGGCAGGACAAGGCTCATCCCGGGATGAACAGGTTGACACCCTCACCCAACTTCTCACCGCACACACACCCACTCACACGCCAATTGACCCCCTCGCTCGCCCCTCCACGGCCGCTCGCCCTGCCTACCTGCTGCGTGGCTTTGAGCTGCGCCCTGACCTGCTGGGTGGCTTTAAGCTGCGCCCTGACCTGCTGGGTGGCTTTAAGCTGCGCCATGACCTGCTGCGTGGCTTTGAGCTGCGCCCTGACCTGCTGGGTGGCTTTAAGCTGCGCCCTGACCTGCTGGGTGGCTTTAAGCTGCGCCCTGACCTGCTGGGTGGCTTTGAGCTGCGCCCTGACCTGCTGGGTGGCTTTGAGCTGCGCCCTGACCTGCTGGGTGACTTTGAGCTGCGCCCTGACCTGCTGGGTGGCTTTGAGCTGCGCCCTGACCTGCTGGGTGGCTTTAAGCTGCGCCCTGACCTGCTGGGTGGCTTTAAGCTGCGCCCTGACCTGCTGGGTGGCTTTGAGCTGCGCCCTGACCTGCTGGGTGGCTTTGAGATGCGCCCTGACCTGCTGGGTGGCTTTAAGCTGCGCCCTGACCTGCTGCGTGGCTTTAAGCTGCGCCCTGACCTGCTGGGTGGCTTTGAGCTGCGCCCTGACCTGCTGGGTGGCTTTGAGCTGCGCCCTGACCTGCTGGGTGGCTTTGAGCTGCGCCCTGACCTGCTGGGTGGCTTTGAGCTGCGCCCTGACCTGCTGGGTGGCTTTGAGCTGCGCCCTGACCTGCTGGGTGGCTTTGAGCTGCGCCCTGACCTGCTGGGTGGCTTTGAGCTGCGCCCTGACAGCGTCCGCCTCCTGGCGACTTTGCTGCATCTCTTGCTCCTTGCGCTGCACCTCGCTCTCCAGCCGCCCCACCCGCCCCGCCATCTCCTCCACCGCCATGCGCGCCTCCGCCAGCTCCTGTCACCGCCCACCCCACGCCGCCCCCACATCACCGGGGAGGAGGGGGGTGAGGGGAGAGAAAGGGGGAGAAGGTGGGGTGTGGCGGAGGATGAGGATGCAAACGACTAAGAAGCAGGGTGTAAGGCATGGAGAAATATGCACTGCTGCTGGAACATGCCGGCACTCAGTCATCTAAGTGATTTCCTACCCGCGCCACCAATGCCCATCCCACCCCATCCCACCCCATCGGGCAGCGCAGCACAACCCTTGTGAGGCGAAACGCCCTTCCCCTTTAGCCCTTTCCCCCCAGCCCACCCACCCTGGCGGCCTGTTTGAGCGCGGAGGCGGAGAGCGCGGCCTCCTCCTGCAGCTGCTGCAGGAAGGCGTCGCGGTGCGCTATGCCCTCCTGCGCCTCCATCAGCTGCCGCCTCATCCGCTCCTCCCTCCCCGCCGCCGACTCCAGCTCCTGCTCGCCTCGCACGCCCGCACGCCCACGTGGGTCCGTGGGGTGGTGGGATGGTGTGGGGGAGAGGAAAGGAGGAGGGGGGATGTGGGAGAGGCAGGGGATACGGGTAAGAGGACGTAACAGGAAGTGAGTGAGGGGGATAGTAGATGGTGGGTGGTGAAGGAAGGACACGGTGAGAGCTGTGAGGGTATGGATGTTGAATGCGGTAGAGTACGGTGCAGTGTGTGAAGTGGAGCAGGCAGTGTGGTGGCGCACTTTCTGCATGCGCTGCTGCTGCTCTGTCATCTCCCGCCTGAGCTCGTCCTTCTCCACTCGCGACCGCTCCTCCACCGCCCTCATTTGCTGCTCGCCGCCCAACGCATGCACCAGTGCGCACACATACACACACACGCACACATGCACACACATGCACACATGCACACACATGCATGCACACGCACACATACACACACACACACAGACACACACACACACACGCACGCACGCACGCACGCACACACACACACATACACACACACACACACACACACACACCCACGCATGCACGCGCAGAGGCAGGAAGAAACCACCTGAGTGGAAAGCAGGAATGAAGAAAAGAAAGTGAGGCGAGGAAGTAGAGAGAAGAGAAAGCACAGGAGGGAGCAAGGGTGCCATGGAACAAGGGCAGTGGGAGCAGGAGGCATGATGTTTGGATGGATGAAGCGCACCTGCTTGGATGACAAAACCGGGTCGGGTCAAGGCTGAGCCGGTTGCCCTGTTTTCTACCCGATTCCGGGTCGAGTCACAGTCAGCCCGAAACCCGACCCAACCCGACCCGACCCGAAATTCAACATCGGGTCGGGTTTTTTTGCCGGGGCCGGCCCGCCTCGACCTGGCCGTGCCAGGACATTGAATGTCCTGACCCGACCTGGGAAAACATTCCAACCACAATTTGCGGTTGAGTTGGGTTCCTTATCATGTTGATCAAGACGCAACCATCATAATTGGAACAGCAATGATGTTGACCAACCATTATTGATCCTCAAACCTCTTCTATCTCTCTACGTATGTTCTACCTCAGTCCATTCGAGCTTAATCAGTAAATAATATCGTTGTCGTACCCCCTTCTTCGAGGAACAGGCGCATGCAGTCGTTGTAGAGCACTTCGTCCGCTCTCCTCTCGAGAAACGTATCGTGCACTTTGGTGGCCAAGCTGTTCACCGCCTGGGCGGAGAGGAGGGGGAGGGATGAACGGGGGGGAAGGAGAGGGATAAGTAGTCTGAAAGAGGAGGGAATTGGAGAACTGCAGGAGAGGAGGGAGAGGCGTGGAGGAGAGGTAGAGGAGATAGAGATGGAGGATGCAAAGGAGTGGGTGAGGGGGAAAAATGGTAGCGAAATGAGGGAGGGGAGTAAGAGCAGCACCGCATGCATTCAGCCCATTTTGGAGGCACCTCAAAAGCAACACATCACTCTTCTAGACTGGGTCCCCACGTGTCGTGTCGGGGTGTTGTGTTTGGGCCTGCCTTGCACATGTTCGCAACACCACCGCGGAAAAGCTCTCGGCTCGCACCCTCCCCTGTGTTTTTCTTGGTTTCTTGGTTGACGCCCCTGACTTCACGGTTTACCTCTCACCCCCTCCACCGGTTTTTCGACTCTTGTGTAATCCTTCGACGTCGGTTACCCCCACTGAGGTCTCCCCGTTCCTTCCCTCTCCCTCTTCCTTGCCCCCACTCCTCCCCCTGCTCCTACTCATTTGGTACGTTTACCCCACCCAGGTCCTGCCTCGTCAAGTGTGTCTCACACTACCCCTACTCCCTTGGCAGCATGCCAGGTATCGTCTCCTTCACCATAGTCCCTCACGTGGTCTTCACAGTCATTGCAGCAGCCTTTGGTACAACCACGGCATGTCGCAGTGGACTCTGGAAGTGCTGGAGCTAGATGTACTGGAGTTGAGGGTACTGGAGTTGGCGGTACTTGCATTGGAGGTGCTGCTTCGAGGGGGTGCTGGAGTTGGAGGTTCTGGCACTGGAGGTTGTACGTCTGGGAGTGCTAGGGTGGGGGGCGCTGGAGTCGAAGGTGCTCAGTCTGAGGGTACTGGAGTTGGCGATACTGGCACTGGAGGGGCTAGTTCTAGGGGGTGCTGGAGTTGGAGGTCCTGGCATTGGAGGTCGTGCGTCTGGAGGTGACCATGATCCTAGGCCACCATCACTGCTGGTGATGACCTTTGGCGTCCTGACCTGCTGGTGATCCCCGATTGATCCTAGGCCACCATCACTAGTTCCAGTGGTAGACGTAAAATGTATCATGAACAATATAATGCACTATAATAGAGAGATTACAGAAGTACTAAAGAACACCCCCAGCCCCCCCATTAGGGGCGGGTCACCCGGGCCCGACCCGACCCGACCCGACCTCGGGTCCCCTTTGGCCCGAGGGTGTAGGCCCGGGTCGGGCCAGAACTTTCATGGGTCTGGCCCTAGCCCGGCCCTGTCAACGGGAGTTGTGTGTTGGCCCCGTCCTCGCTTGGGCGGAGCCGACTTCGTGGTCGGGTGTGAAGGGAGCAGCCGACCTGCAGCAGTGGGCGAGCTGGTTGACGAGGAGGTCGACCTGCACGGAGACCACTGTACGGGCGCCGACTTCAGGGAGGTCGACCTGGGAAGTCGACCTGCGGAGGACGTCAACTTGGTGACGTCAACTTGGGACAGCCGACTTGGGTGGTCGGCTGACAGGGCTGCTGGCCGACCTGGTTGGTCGACCAGGCCTTCTGGTCGACCGGGTTGGTCGACCAGGCCTTTTGGTCGACCTGGTTGGTCGACCAGGCCTGCTGGTCGACTTGGTGGTTGGTCGACCAGGCGTGCTGTCGACCTGGTGGTCGACCTAACAGGGTGGTCGACGAAGGAGGGCCGACGTCGACCTCGACTCAGGACGCCGAGCGGCAGGGCGTCGAGTAGCACGGCGTCAACTTGGTGACGCCGCCGACTTCGGGTAGCCGACTTGGGTGGTCGGCGACATCAGTGCTGGTCGACGTGGAGCTGGTCGACCAGGATCGCTGGTCGACGTGGAGCTGGTCGACCAGGAGTGACGTCGACCTGGAGCTGGTCGACCAGGGGCGTGGTCGACCTGGTGAGGTCGACTTGGGGTGGTCGTCGACCTGGGAGGTCGACGGACACATACAGGAGCAGCTGGTCGACGTGGTTGCCCGGTGGACCAGGTTACCTGGGTGACGAGGTTCTGCGGAGGAGTGCGACGGTCGCCCAGGCGAAGTTGGCGAGTTCGACCTCGGTGGTGGTATCCCGAGGTCGACGTGGCTGATCAGATGCAGTCGTCAGCGCCAGGTTGATGTGGTGTGTGCGCTGTGCAGGTGACAAGGCTCAACACGCCAATCATCTGCGAGCACCTGCGAAGCTGGTGCGCTGCTGTTCTGCGTGAGCAACGCTGGCACGCCGTCAACCTGCGATGTTGGCACGCCGTCGACTTTGCACTGCTGGAGCGCGGTCGACCAAGTCGTGCTGGAACGCGGTCGACCGTGCTGTGCTGGCAGTCGACCTGCATGCATGCTAGCTCTGATGTAGTCTTGCCATGCCAACTTCTTTGTACCATTGTTGTCAACTTTCTCTAGTGAAACTCTTGCCAAATTGCCCCGTGAACTAGCAAGCAGTGTGTGCACTAGGAAAACGACTAAGGACCAACGAACGCAGAGATCACACGAGCACCCGTGCCTAGCCCTAGTCTAGCTCCCGTTGTAGTAGTTATCTCCGCATGGTGCGGTGAGCGTGGACGGCACACGACTTACCTTTCAGTCAGGTCGACGTAGAGGTCACTTACCTAAGTGGTTCGTAGGCCGGCAGTCGTACAGTCCCTAACGTGCGCGCAGGAGACACCAAGGTGATGGACACCCTGGAGGGACGGCTGGAGGATGCGAGGAGACGCCATGAGGCCCAGGAGTACGGGGTGATACCCTGGGTGGTCGTCGAGGCTGGACTCCGCTCTGTGTGGGCAGCGGAGCGCCCCCCCTCTCGACCTGCTTCTCCTCGACCGGTGACCAACGAAGGCGGCGTCGACGTGGGCGTCAACGCCGTAGGTGGCCAAGTCGGCAGCAGTGCGGGAGGCACGTCGAGGCAGAGAGGTGTGATTCACGCCGATGAAGTCGGCGGCGTTCAGGCGCGAAGAGTGCGGTCGTCGGCGGCTGCAGGCTCCTCGCAGGGCGACGTCGGAGGTCGACGAAGCGGGTTGTCGCCGATGTCGGCGACCCAAGTGACGGCGGGCGGGATTGCTCCGAGCTACGGCTACTTCAAGCTTGAACGACGTGCTGTGGACGACGTGCTGTGTGTTGGGTGCACGTCGACGGCCGTGTGGGCTGGGGGCCCAAGCGTGAACGCGGCAGGGGAGTGTCAACGGGAGTCGTGTGTTGGCCCCGTCCTCGCTTGGGCGGAGCCGACTTCGTGGTCGGGTGTGAAGGGAGCAGCCGACCTGCAGCAGTGGGCGAGCTGGTTGACGAGGAGGTCGACCTGCACGGAGACCACTGTACGGGCGCCGACTTCAGGGAGGTCGACCTGGGAAGTCGACCTGCGGAGGACGTCAACTTGGTGACGTCAACTTGGGACAGCCGACTTGGGTGGTCGGCTGACAGGGCTGCTGGCCGACCTGGTTGGTCGACCAGGCCTTCTGGTCGACCGGGTTGGTCGACCAGGCCTTTTGGTCGACCTGGTTGGTCGACCAGGCCTGCTGGTCGACTTGGTGGTTGGTCGACCAGGCGTGCTGTCGACCTGGTGGTCGACCTAACAGGGTGGTCGACGAAGGAGGGGCCGACGTCGACCTCGACTCAGGACGCCGAGCGGCAGGGCGTCGAGTAGCACGGCGTCAACTTGGTGACGCCGACTTCGGGTAGCCGACTTGGGTGGTCGGCGACATCAGTGCTGGTCGACGTGGAGCTGGTCGACCAGGATCGCTGGTCGACGTGGAGCTGGTCGACCAGGAGTGACGTCGACCTGGAGCTGGTCGACCAGGGGCGTGGTCGACCTGGTGAGGTCGACTTGGGGTGGTCGTCGACCTGGGAGGTCGACGGACACATACAGGAGCAGCTGGTCGACGTGGTTGCCCAGTGGACCAGGTTACCTGGGTGACGAGGTTCTGCGGAGGAGTGCGACGGTCGCCCAGGCGAAGTTGGCGAGCCCGACCTCGGTGGTGGTATCCCGAGGTCGACGTGGCTGATCAGATGCAGTCGTCAGCGCCAGGTTGACGTGGTGTGTGCGCTGTGCAGGTGACAAGGCTCAACACGCCAATCATCTGCGAGCACCTGCGTAGCTGGTGCGCTGCTGTTCTGCGTGAGCAACGCTGGCACGCCGTCAACCTGCGATGTTGGCACGCCGTCGACTTTGCACTGCTGGAGCGCGGTCGACCAAGTCGTGCTGGAACGCGGTCGACCGTGCTGTGCTGGCAATCGACCTGCATGCATGCTAGCTCTGATGTAGTCTTGCCATGCCAACTTCTTTGTACCATTGTTGTCAACTTTCTCTAGTGAAACTCTTGCCAAATTGCCACGTGAAACAGCAAGCAGTGTGTGCACTAGGAAAACGACTAAGGACCAACGAACGCAGAGATCACACGAGCACCCGTGCTTAGCCCGTAGTCTAGCTCCCGTTGTAGTAGTTATCTCCGCAGGCCCGACCCGACACGACCCGAGAGTCCGGGTGGCCCGGCCAAGTCGGGTCGGGTCGGGTCGGGCCGGGTCACCTGCTCTACTCTTTAGCTTGTGAATTGAAGTCACACTAGTAAGACGTGTAGCTTGTGCCTGCTGCCGTTAGGCAAGATTTAGATTGGGTAAGCTTTGCTGTCGAGGGGATAAAAAACCCCTCGGCAACATCATGACCTAGAAACCCGACCCGGCCCGGCCCGAGTTCCATGCTCAGGTCGGGTTTTTGCTCGGGTCGGGTCAGGTCGGCCCGTACAGGGCAGGAAAATGAAACCACTGACCCGACCCGTGCTAAACCACGGGTCGGGTCGGGCCGGCCCGACCCGAGCGGGGCAAATGCTCATCTCTAATGGGGAGAGGAGAGAGAAGAGGGGGTGAGGCGAGAGAAAAAAGGGAGAGGAGAAAGAAGAGGGGGAAGGAGAGAGAGGAGCGGGAGAGGAGTGAAAGGAGGAGGAGAGGTGAGAGAGGAGGGGGAGAGGAGAGATTGGAGGGGGGAGAGGAGAGATTGGAGGGGGGAGAGGAGAGAGACAAGGGCGGAGAGGAGAGTAAGGAGGGGGGATATGAGGGTGAGCAGAGCAGGAGAGGATGGAGAGGAGGGGGGGGTTGTTGAGGGTGAGCAATTGGAGAGACGATGGAGAAGTGGGGTTATGTGGGAGAAGCAAAAGGAGATGCGATGGGAGAGGGTTAAGTTGGCAAGGACAGACAAGCATGTAATGGCTCATAATGAGCTTACACGTTACGAGTCACATTGGGTGCAAGATGAGGAGGTAATGAAGAACGTGGGAGACACAAGTAGAAGGAGCCCCAATAATCTCAAACAATGAGAGTTAAGGTGCACAAGGAGGTTGAGGGAATGGCATTTGGGCAATGGCGTTTTAGGCCATGTATACTTGCACGACCAGGTGTTAAGTTGTTGAATTCAAAGAACATATTAAAACAAAACCCGCACACTAAAACTGAGCAGTTAGGTTAGTGGCAAGTAATGGCTTATGGTGGTTGGGTGTATTACTGAGGACAACGTGGAAAAGATTCCCCCATTGATCGAGTTATTGGAGCCGATTTTGCTTGTCACCTCAAGTCGTCGCAGCTCGAACGAAGTCAAGCAACTCACCAGCTTGCCCTCAACTAAACGGTACAGCAATGCATAAACCCCAAACGTCAGGAGAGTCAACGTGGGATCAAGACTTGACTCCTCTGCCCGTGTCTACTGCAGCTGTCGCCTTGTCTCGTTCCAGTGGCTTCACTCTGTGTAACAGCCATGGCCCACCCTGTACCTGCAGCTAGGGATGAGCAAGGGGCGAACACGAACACGTTCGTGTTCGCCCCTACACGAACACCGCTGTTTGCCGAACCGAACACTGTTCGGTTCGGCGAACACTTTGAGCAAAAAATGGTGTTCGCCGTTCGCCTGTGAAGGCGTGTTCGGGCGAACCTCGAACACGTTCGTGTTCGTCGCGGGGCAAATTGCAGCAGCGGCCCGAACACGAACGTGTTCGGGCGAACATCGAACACTGTTCGGTGAACACTTTAAGCCAAAAAAAATCGAGGCGAACCGAACAGGTGTTCGTTTTTTTGCTCATCCCTACCTGCAGCTGCAAGAACCACCTTTGGGATTCATTTGCACCATTGCTCGTTTCAGAGGCAAACCGGTCACTAGAACAGGACCACTGCACCCTACCTGATTCCAGTGGCTCAGGGTGCCGAGAACCAAAAAAAAAAAAAAAAAACTTATTGTGTTTCTCTTATTATTATTATTGTTGTTGTTGCTGCTGCTGCCGCCGCCGCCGCCGCCGCCGCCGCCGCTGCTGCTGCTGCTATTATTGTTATTATTATTACTAGTACTATTATTATTAACAGTGAAAACATAATGATACGGTTCCAGGTGGTGTTTTTAGTTTGGCCGTTCTTTTCACACCACCCACCCCATGGGAGCAAACTGATTGTGAATGTAGGCAGGAAGGAGGAAGATGAGGATTGCCAGAATTGTCCTATTTGGGATACCTTTACCGATCTACCAGCTGGTTCCACTTAGGGTTGCGAGCAATCTGTTTCTGTGAGTAAAACTGGACTTTGTTGGAAAAAGGGACTTTGAGAAATTCTGCCACAGACAATGTGACTAAAGCAAAATTCATGTGCAAAACCGAACCAGCCCAGTTCGGTAACAAACCAAACCAGTTTGGGCGAATCTGTTTGGTTCGTTATATGAATTAACGAACCTTGAACCAGCTGGCCAGAAATCGGTTCGTTTACGAACCGGTTCGGTTCGGTAATTCCAAATGCCAACTTGTCAGCCAGTGGCTACAGCACGTGCTACAGCCATAGCCTACACTGCACTGCACCTGCAGCTGTAACAATCGCTCATTTGAGTTCTGAAGCAATCCAAGCACTACACAGGGCTCACTGCGCACACTCTACACGGTTCCGGTGGCTTCAGTCCTTACTACAGCCACATGCAGTCCGTGCTACAGCCATAGGAAGTCCTTGCTGCAGCCACATCCACAGTTCAGAAACAATCCAAGCACTACACCACCCTCACTGCCCACACCATACCTTGCTGTCCTGGTGCTTCCACTTGCGATTGATGTTGCGCATGATGGCAGCGAAGATGAGGGGCATGATGGTGGTGTGATTCCGAGCCACGAGAGCCTTGATGTAGTGATGGTTCCACAGGCGCAGCGTGCGCTCTACCACCTGAAGAGGGGGGAGAACAGGCACGGGGTGGGGGATGGGTAGGTATGGCACGTGGGTCTTAGCATTAGGGCGCACATGAAGCGGTAATGTGCGCCACCACGAGCGCCACGAAGTAGTCGCTGTTCCGCAATTTGAAGGCAGAAGGGGAACGGGATTGCGTTGGGGGGGAAGGAGGGAGGGTGAAGGGAGAGGCATAAGAGTTATGAGCCACGAGCATCAAGAAGCAGTCGTTGTTCCACCATCTGAAGACAGAAGGGGAAGGGGATAGCGTTGGGGGGAAAGGGGGGAGGGTGGAGGGAGAGACATAAGAGTTCTGAGCCACGAGCATCAAGAAGCAGTCGTTATTCCACCACCTGAAGGCAGAAGGCGAAGGTTGGGGGGGGGGGGGGGGGCAAGGTGGAATATGGGGCATGACATGTGGGGCATGACATGTGGGGCATGACATGTGGGGCATGACATATGGGGCATGACATACGAGGCATGACATCTAGGCATGGCATATGGGGCATGATATGTGGGGCATGACATGTGGGGCATGACATATGGGGCATGACATGTGGGGCATGACATATGGGGCATGACATACGAGGCATGACATCTAGGCATGGCATATGAGGCACGATGACATATGAGGCATGAGTTATGAGGCATGACATCTAGGCATGGCATATGAGGCACGATGACATGTGAGGCATGACTTATGAGGCATGACACCTAGGCAAGGCAGATGTATGGGGCATGACGGCCATGCAATGGGCCATTGCCACTCAGACATGGGAAGCTGTGAGGGGGGAGCGGGAAGGGCAGGGCGAAGATCAGAGAGAATGAAATCGGTTATCACAGAAAGCGCGTGGGAAGGCGACGCGGACACAGGCAGAAGAGTGAGGGGGGAAGAAGACACAAGCAGAAGAGAGATGGGGGAAGCGACCAAAGTTGGGGACCATTGGTGCGAACCACATGACGCGTCAGACAGGCGGCAGCAGCCATCACATCGGCCAAACCCTAATGTCGTCCCCATAACGTACAGCCAAAAAAACGACCCATAGTTTGATTTTGAGAATGCCAAACTTGGAATGCGATATGCTGGAACAGCAGCATTATGAACATGATAACATCTCGCGTCCTTCAGCGAGAATGCATAGCACCCCAGTACACCATATTACACCGCACCATACCGTATCTGAACTGAATTGGGCGGGAGCGTCATACCTGATGTGCGAGGAGCCGAAGCAGCGCGCGATCTGCATGAACAGTGGCGTCATGACTGTCAGGAACTCGGGCGTCTGCTAAAAAATGCATGCCATGACACACCCTCACATCTCCTCACACCTCCTCTCACCCCACCACACCCCCCTCACACCCCCTCACACCCACCACCGTTTCACATCCCCTCGCACTACACCACACCCCGACACAACCCATCCAACCGTACCTCAAAGTGCGAGCACGCAATCTGCTGGAACAGCAGCGTCGTGGCCATCTGATACTCGGGCGCCTGCGTGAAAATGCATGCGATAACACCTTCCCACAACCCCTCACATTCCCTCCCAATGCACCGCAAACATCCCACCGTACCTGGAAGTCCGAGGAGCTGAGGCAGCGTGCGATCTGCTGGAACAGCGGCGTCATGACCATCTCAAACTCCGGCAACTGAGTCTCCTTCAAAACCTCCTCCAACTCCTCCAGAAACAGCACCTCCTTCTGGCTGTCAGTTAAGGGCCAGAACTTAAGCAACCCGCGCAGCACTGGTTCCGCGAGCTCCGGGTCTTTTTCTACAAACTGAATGATGCAGTACGACGGCAGCTGGTGGTGGTACATAGGCAGGCACCTCGGCTTGTGCAACAGAAACAGCGCCCGGCCTAGGAACTCCTTATCCTTCTCCCCAAGCGGCAGCTCAAATCCGGTTACTATAGCGAACCTGAAAATCTCTGTGATGCTGTTACGCCGCTCCGACTTCCATTGGTGAACAATGTTGCCAATCGCTTCGCGGATGAACGGCCGGTGAACATTAAACATATCGTAAATCCGGTTCAGACTTGTCTCCACGCACTCCCGCTCGCGAGGGTCCTCCGAGTCGAACAGGTTCAGCAGCTTTAAGATGAAATTCTGGTCGATGCAATGCGACTGGTAAGTGTCTTCAGAGACGACATACCTAAGCAGGAACTCGTAGACTAATTCCAGGTGCGGCCACGCGGCTTCCATAGTCGGCCTAGGCATCTCGCCGTGTGCGGACCGCGTTAACGGCCGGAAGAGATTAATCTCCAGCATACGCCTGATTTCTTTCAATGCCTTACTGGATTCAGTGTAGCCGACTAGTTCCAGGAGCGTTTGCCGCTTAATCTCCTTCTCCTTCACGTTTTTCATTGGGTCGTTAAAATCGAAGAGGTAACTGCAGAGGCGAAGCTTCCGGATGAATAGAGCCTGCTGCTCCTGCGCACCCACGTCTTTTAACAACGGCAGCGGCTCCGCGAAAGGCGGCAAGGTCGCCTGCGCAATCTCTTCGTTCGGGTTGCGACGAGCGGGAGCCGTTGGATTCGTGCCGCCTGGAGAAGGATGCGAGCATTCCGCCTTTCCTGCGTCCGCTCCCCCCCGAGCGGCAATTGCCGCAGCTGCTGCTGCATTGCCTGCATTGTGCGACGCTGCGTCTGTCTTACCCTGCTTTTCCCGACCCCTTATGAACGTCTTTTTAAATGACTCTAGCATGCTAAGCCACTTCCTGCACGTAGAACCCTAACCGTTAGCTAATATCGACACGACATTGCTAACGCCGTTTGGTTTCAGTCAGGCAGCAATAGCAATTCATAGGCGAGGAGCTTTCTGGTGATGTTGGAAACCAAATCGCGAGAATAGGTCTACCCCGAACTCGCCAAGCTTCAGACTTCTAAACGGCTGGCTTCCCAAAAGATATGCTGGGAACTGATAAGTACATCTAGCGGCTCGTCTAGCGGTTTTTCCAAGAATAAGAACTCACGCATTAGGCATGTAGGATAGGACTGGGCTGCTATGGATTATCATATGTGAGGTTCCACGGTTGAGAGTTCGCAGCACACCCAGCCAGCAGCATTGAGCACGTTTTCCCGCGCAATCCCTCCTCGCCTGGTTCCATCGCCATCGTTTCGTTGTTTTCGCCACATCACTTCTCACCTGTTTCCTTTCGTTCCAGTTAGTAAATTTTCGCGCAACCCCAATTTCCCATCCCAACCAGTAGGGCCATGGCGATAAACAGTCACGATTGTTACCCAACGGTCACCCCAAAATCCGGTATATCTCGCAAGAACCAACATGGGGTACAGAATTCAGAAACTACAGAATGCGCACCTTACACAATGCTGAATATGTACCAGTGCAGCACATGTAACCTTACGGCATGCTGATAGAGGACCCTTGGCGTGCCTCAAAAGTGGTGCATGTTCTCCTACTCCTATCCTATGGAATGATAGGTAGTTGAGGGCCACTAACAACCTCTTGCATCGCACGGGCCATCTCAGCACTGAAGTCATATTAGCCATCAAAGCCTCCTATTCCCGTGTCCATGCCAGAAACCTCCGCGCTCGCCTGCGCCCCGAAAAAAATCCTGCTTTAACTTAACCAGCTCGGCCAGCACTAGGAGCATGGAGGGGCGGGAGGTCCCAGGCAGGGCAGTGCAGGAGAGGGCAAGGCGAGCCAAGCGCAGCACCACACCATCCGGTGCTTCCAGGTGAGGGTCCTTGAATTCTGCCACTGCTCCTGAGTCCACCAGAGGGGTCACCTGCCAAGTTGAAAGGATATGGCATACGACAGAGTTGTGAGTCGACTCAAAACAAGTGCAGCACCAAATAATCCGGTGCTTCCAAACGAGAGTCCTTGAATGCTGCCATTGCTCCTAAGTCCACCAGTGGGGTCACCTGTCAGATGGAAAGGATATGTCATACGAGATATGCCATACGAGATATGCCATACGAGATATGCTATACGAGATATGCCATACGATACATGCCCCTCCAGAAAATTCACGAGTGTTGCATGAAGCGCAAATATGTTGATAGAATGCGGTAGTAGCGTTGGAGTACAGGGGAGTACAGGTGATAACGCAAAAGATACAGAGGCATAAGATCAGTGCGTGGTTTGAAATAAAGGGTGACTGGTAAGAAAGAATGTGCAAGGGATGAGGGTTTATCATTGTTCTACTTGCCTTCCTCAATACGGCATGTGTGTTGTGGGAGGAAAGAAGAGAGGATCATATGATCAAGCCTTCATGTTTCTGGAAAGCAAGCAAACATATTCAATGTGCAGTGCACTTGGACTTATAAACATGGTGTGAGCCATTGTGCGCTGTGCCTCACCCATTGCTTGATGTTGACGCGCTTGCCCTCTATCACCAGCACAGCCTTACGCCCCGTGACAACCACCAGCATCACCATGCCAAAACTGCAAGCCAGGGAATAAAAAAGGGCATTAATTGTGAGAGCTCCAGTAGTTGAACATTTTTTGTTAAAAAAACAACCATCCACATGATTATGGTCCTCTGCACAACCACTTGCGTCCAAAGCCCCTTTTCTTCAAGTGGCAGAGCATCTCAGTGCCTTTGAATGGTGGCAAGGCATGCCTGAAATGGCAAGGCATGCCTGAAATGGCAACGCATGCCTGAAATGGCAAGGCATGCCTGAAATGGCAACGCATGCCTGAAATGGCAACGCATGCCTGAAATGGCAACGCATGCCTGGAATGGCAACGCATGCCTGAAATGGCAACGCATGCCTGGAATGGCAAGGCATGCCTGAAACGGCAACCAAGGACTGCTGCTATGTACAGAAAGGAGGCGACCGAGGCAAGAGGAAAGCGTAACATAGTGGAGAAGGAAAAACAAAGTTGTCACGAACATCAAATGGTTATTTCGTCCCAATCTTCCCACCTACTCTAATCTTCTCACCTGCACCAATCTTCTCACCTACACTAATCTTCTCACCTGCACCAATCTTCTCACCTACACCAATCTTCTCACCTGCACCAATCTACTCACCTGTACACATCTGCTGCTGGAGAGGCCATTTGAGATTCGTAGTATTCAGGGTCCATATAGCCCAGTGTTCCCACCACTCGAGTGGAAGCCTCAGATGCGGCCATAGATGTCCCTCCAAGCAGCTTCACGAGCCCAAAGTCTGCAACCTTTGCCTGCCCATCATCAACCACAACAACAGCATGATCGTGCAACATGAGATTAGGTGACTCGACTCTCTGCTGGGCTGTTCCAAACATTGAATGATAGTTGAGAAGGATGAACAAGGGTGGGACGTCATCTCCTTCCACATGCAACAAGGGTGGGACAGCACCACCATCCACATGCAACCCTGCTATAGAAAAGGTTGAGCATACCTGCATCCTTTTATCAAGGAGAATGTTGGCCGGCTTGATGTCTCGGTGAACAAACTTGAAGTCGTGAAGGTACTGCAACCCCTTGGCCACTCCAATCAACACGTCCAGCCTTTGGAGCAGCGAGAGAGGGTTAGAGACACCGGGGCCGATCCACCTTTCAAGGTCGCCGTTGGGCATGAGCTCATAGACGAGAAGCTGCTCCATGGTTCGTGTGGACGGGTCAAAGTCGATGCAATAGCCCAACAGACGCACGAGATGGGGATGATGCTTGCTTGCCATCCATTTCACCTGAGGGAGGAAATGATGAACCGGAGAAAGGAGAATGAACTATGCAACCAAAAACTGATGTTGGACTTGGCAAAAGAAACATGGTCCCAACCAGAAATTACAATATGCTACGCCTCTCTTGAATTCGTTCGGGCTGGACGTTAAAAAAAAACAAAAAAACAAAAAAAAAAACAAAAAAAAAAAACGACCTACCTCTCTCTGGAAGTCATTTGTGAGCACTCGAGCTCGCTTGACTGCCCAAGCTTGATTGCAATCGTGAGGAGACACTCCCTTGTAGACAACCCCAAAGCCGCCTTCTCCTATCCTGTTGTCCTCTGCCCACTCTCCTGTGGCCTCGGTTAGCTCTGCCAAACAGTACTCTCGACACACATATGGCTGTGCTACTTCCATTTCTACCGCAGCACCAGCATACTCCCCCCTCCGTCCTGCTGATGCTGATGCTTCCGCCCCTTCAGCAGCTGCTGGATTTTCCTCCTCAAAGCGAGCTTCTGTGAAGGAATATGAGAGAGGGGACGAGAGAGAAAAGGAGACACAGAGCAGGTAAGGGGCCTGGAACACCCACCACAACTACTATAATACAAAAGGGGCCTGAACAAATGTTGCCCCTCCTCCCTCCTTGACCCCAGTGCTTGTGATTAGCTCCTCACGATCTCTCTGTCTCCGCCCTTTGCACAAGGCCCAACCCACCGTGTCCTCTGTTGTGTCCTTCCACCTGAGCCTCCCTCTCGTGGTACCTTGGCTGTGTGTGTTGCTGTCGGCTGCTTCTTCCAGGCGTTGCCACGTGACGGCGCGTACCTCCTCCACGTCAGCAGCGCGGCCCTCCTCCTCCAGCAACTGGCGCTGGCACTCCTCGTAGAGCGGCTGGTCCATCTCCAGAAACATCTTGCGCACGTTGATGGTCAGCCCGTTCACCGCCTGGGGGAAATGAGGGGACGAGTGGTAGGAAGAGGAAGGAGAACAGACGGGGAGCGGAAAACGGGCATCGGAAAGGAGGGAGAGTAAAGGGGGAGAGAAGGGAGCAGCAGCAGAGCATGCGTTGGGCAGAGGAGGAACCGGTGCTGGCACTCGTCCTTCACGGGCGGGGCTGGGCCATCTCGAGAAACATCTTGTGCACGTTGATGGTCAGCCTGTTCACCGCCTGGTAAAGCAGGGAGGGGAGGGTGAAGGGGCATTTCACAGAATGCATTAAGCAAGCAGGGGCTGGGCCATCTCGAGAAACATCTTGCGCATGTTGATATTAGCCCGTTCACCGCCTGGGGGAAGAGGAGGTCGGAGGGGGGAATGCGGGAGGGGGCGGCGGAGAGCAGTCAGGATGAGGAGGAAGAGGAGTAGAGTAGTGGAGGAGGAGAGGAGGGAGAGGAGAGGGAGAGAGGATGGAGAGGAGTGGGTGAGGGAAGAGGTGGTAGAGGAGTGAGGGAGAGTAGGAAAGATGCGTGGAGGAGATGAGAGGGAGGAGTGGGAGAGAGAATGGGGAGCAATGGGTGAGGGGTGGTAGAGGAGTGAGCGAGAGGAATGAGAGCAGCACAGCATGGATGCGTGCATCGGGTCAGGCAGGGAGGATCTGCTGCTAGCTAGCCTCATCATAAGACGAAGGAGAGCGGAGGGGGAGAGGAGGCACTGACACACTCCGCCACCTGTGTGCTGCATGATGTATGGGGCATGATGTATGGGGCATGAGAGAAACACAGCCTATATGCACCTACGGTTGGCCTAGGACCACCACTCGTATCAGTTCAGAAGCAATCCAAGCACATCACCGTGCTCACTGCCCACACCGTCATACCAGGATCTCCTCCTCGCATCTTCTGGCGTTGCGCTCGAGCGCTGCAAAGATGAGCGGCAGGATAGTGGCGCGGTTCTGCACCGTGAGCGCCACGATGTAGTCGTTGTCCCACAGGCGCAGTGTGCGCTCCACCACCTGAAGGCACAAGGAAAAGGGTTGCGTTGCGGGGGGGGGGGAAGAGGGGGGAGGGGGGAGGGGGGAAAGGGGGGAGCGCGAGAGACATAGGAATTATGCACCACGAGCGTCACTATGTAGTCGTGGTCCCACTGGCGCAGTGTGCGCTCCACCACCTGCATGGGGAGAGAGAAATGGGAGTTGGGGGGTGGGAGGGTGGGTTGAGAGACGCCATCATGGCCATCATGACCATCATGACCATTATGACCATCATCATGACCATCATGACCATCATGACCATCATGACCATCATGACCATCATGACCATCATGACCATCATCATGACCAGCGGCTTCTGCATGAAAATGCATTCCATGACACCTTCTCTTGCCACACCCTGTCAAACCCGACCACCGTATCACATCCCCACGACCGTATCAAATCCCTACGAACCGCATCACACCCGGAGAACCCCCGTACCACCATACCTCGAAGTCCGAGGAGCTGAGACAGCGCGCGATCTGCTGGAACAGCGGCGTGATGACCATCTCAAACTCGGGCGCCTGCGTGAGCTCCAAAATCTTCTCCAACTCCTCCAGGAAAAGCAGCTCATTCTGGCTGTTAGTTAAGGGCCAGAACTTAAGCAACCCGCGCAGCACCGAATCCGCGAGCTTCGGGTCTTTTTCGACAAACTGAGTGATGCAGTACGACAGCTGCTCGTGATACATCGCCACGCACTCAGGCTTGTGCAGCGGAACCAGCACTCGGTCTAAAAACTGCTTATGTTTCTCCTTAAGCGGCGGCACAAATTTGTTAATCATACCCCCTAGAACCTCCAGCAGCTCCGCAATGCCGTTATGCCGTTCAGACTCGATAAACTGGTAGATAGCGTTGCCAATTGCTTCACGGATGAACGGCCGGTGAAACGTGAACCTCTTGTAAGTTTGGTGCAGAATAGTCTTCAAATAGTCCCGCTCGCGAGGGTCCTCCGCGTCGAACAGGTTCAGCAGCTTTAAGATGAACTGCTGGTCGATGTAGTAACGCGTCGCGACATACTGAAGCAGGCACAGGTAGATTAGTTCCAGGCGCGGCCACGGGTCGACTTCCAGATTAATCTTTAGCATGGGTGCGAAGGCTTTAAGAAGCGCCTCGTTGAATTTCACTTGTCCGCGACCAGCGTAGTCGACTAGGTCGAGCAGCGCTTGCCGCTTCTGGACGAATAAAGCCTGCTGTTCCTGCGATCCCAGCGGCACCGCGCTAGGTGACGCGTTTGCTCCCTCCGATGCGACCATATCCGAGGCCGTCCGAGCAATGTCATTCGCCATGGCCGAAACCAAAAAAGGCGAGGTTAGTTTTACCCTGAACGCCAAGCTTCGTGCTCCTAAATGGATGCTCTAACAAGACTTTTAGTGAACGCAGAAAAACATCCAACTTCTCGCCTACAAATAACGACTGCGCATCAGGATATCCTGGATCAACCGCCATGGATGATCACTCACACGATTGCAGGGTTGAAAGAAAATGGAGATGGGAAACCTACACAGAAGCATGGTAACCACTAACGACTAGTACAGTGGCGTGGAATCAAAGGCTCTGCGGACCACGCCAGACTGGGGAGAACCAGGCCTGCCCAGACGACCTGTGACGGGCCATGTGGTTTGCAGGTTCTGATTGGGGCCTGCTAAGTCGGACCAGCCCTGATTCGTCGGACCAGATCCCAAGCTCGCTGAGCAGCCAACCGCTTGATCTCGAGCTGCCTGCACATTGGTGCGCAGATTCCGTGTTCCCATTAGGGCAAGCGCTTACGTTTTCAGTTCGTTTACAGTTCATCCGTCGTGGTGCAAGATCATATAAAACGGTGCACAGCGGTTTTCAATCTCCACCGTTTTGCACGTGACGCACTACCTTCAGAATGAGCTGTAAACGTACGCGCTACGCCTTTTCGTGTTTCCTTCACACATCACCTCTCGCCGGATGCTTTTCGTTCAAGCCAACTATTGTTTTCGCGCAACCCCAAATTTCCATCTTGAGCAGTACAGTCAATTTGAACGTACAGCTCTTGTTGATATAACATCTTTGCTACTTGATCGTTAGGGGTACAGAAATCAATTTTGGAAACATATGGACCAGCCTACACCAGGATAACACTGCTGCTGACGCACACCTCACAGAATGCTGAACAGCACATTGCTTAGGGTACATAAAATCCCCTGTGCACCAATCACCATCAATCAACTGACCAGCAGCAAATAGATTATTGCCAGCTCATTCTGAAAAAGGCAGACCCATTGCGTATGCGTAGATCATTTGCGGTCTTGCTTGCTGTCTTGCTCTCTTACTTGCTATCTTACTTGTGGTCTCACTAGTCCACCCATAGAGACCAATGCACATTCCACCACATCAGCTGGCACTAGAGCCCACCACCGGCTCAGTCAATTCTCCACTCTTCTCCTTCCCTTTCTTCCCCTGCTGCTTCTTTCCCCCTGCAGCATTCCCCTTCCCCTTTCCCTTCCCCCCCTTGGCGCCCTTCCCACCAGCCTGCGCGCCTGCCTCTGCCCCCTCCTCCTCCTGCTCTATTCTTGCGAACACAGGCGCTGGCTCTGCTGTTTGCTGCCCTGCCTTCAGCCCCCCCCAGTGCGTGTCAGCCTGCAGACCACCAGGGGAAGGAAATGGGGGGGACGTGGAGGGAGAAGTGGGGATGAGTGGGGGATAGAGGGGCAGAAATATTGGGGAAATGGGAAGAAGTAGATGGGCGAACCAGTGACTCCAATATACTACAAATGGGATGCGTGCACTATTGAGAGGTAATGGTAATGCTTCAAAGACAAACATGGTAGCGCCGCTGTGACTGAATGACACCGTGCGGTGCGGCATGCACTAACGTCGGGTCATGTATGACTAGAACGACATGAAGCGGCATGATCGACTAGATTCTATGCACCGTGTGCAGTTTACAATGCACCCATTGGATGGTTCAAAACTCCTGTGAGTTTTAGGGGGGTAGATGCTTTGGCCGAGCTTAAGGTTATAGGGGCAGCGCACAGTGAGCGCCCACTGTGACACTCAATTTGTGTGTGTGTTGCATGCTCGAGCATGGGGACGATGACTAGATTCAATGCACACAGTGTGCAGTTTGTTGCGCACCCATTGGATGGCGGAAAACTGATCGGCTGTGAAGCCCAGCTGCAAGTAGATGCTGCGAGCGAGCGTGGGAGTGATGCTTGAGATGTCTCAAAACACACGTTTGAGATCGACAGGTTTGGTACGCACCCATTGGATGGCGGAAAACTGCTCAGCAGTGAAGCCCAGCTGCGTGTAGATGCTGCGAGCGAGCGTGGGGGTGATGGGCGAGAGAGCCACAGCCACACAGCGAGCTGTCTCCAACACTGCCACCAGGTCCTGATGGGGGAAGAAACGGGGAGTGGGGGGTAAGGGAGATGGGATGGGATGGGATGGGAGAGACATTATGCGAAGTGAGGGCACACAGCGAGCCGTCTCCAACACTGCCACCAGGTCCTGATGGGGGGAGAAGGGGGGATGGGTGGAAGGAGTGTGGGGAAAGGCATGAGGACTTGTCATTCTGAGAGTGGGGTTGATGAGGAGAGTGTGTGATGGGGGAGAGTGCCACGGCCACACAGCGAGCCTTCTCCAACACTGCCACCAGATCCTGATGGGGGAAGGAATGGAGGGTGGAGGATGGGTTAGAGTGGGGGACAAGGTAGATGGGATGAGAGAAAGTCATTATCAGAAACAGATGTTCCAGGAGTGAGTCCGTCTCCAATACTGCCACCAGATCCTGAGGGGAGAGGGAGGGGAGGGAAGTTGTGGGGGGTGTGGAAGATGTTTGAGTCCAGAGGGGCATGAGTTGAATTGTGGGTGTGATGGGAGAGCGCCACGGCCACACAGCGAGCCGTCTCCAACACTGCTAACAGGTCCTGGGAGGGTGAGGAGGGGAGGGGAGAGAGTGTGGGTCGAGGGACGTAGGAGAGCAGAGCAGAGAATGGCATGACTTGAAGAGCAGGGGTGATGGGGAGAGTTGCCGGCAATGCCGGCAATACCGCCAACACCAGCACACAGCCGCCAGGTCCTGGGAAAGGTAGGAAAGCGAGCAAGTTGCCTCATGCCACACTGCACCGCATCTCAGTCATCCCAATCACCCACTCACCGCAGCCGCCTCTTCTGCTTCTGCCCCGCCCCGCTTGAACTTGCTCCATGGTGCTCTTTCCTCCAAAAACCCGTTCCCCGCTGCTGCTGGCGCCAGAATCGCCTCACACGCCCCGCTGAAGTCCAGAGCAGCGTAGCATGCTGCTGCCGTTGCCATCTGTGGGCAGGGTTGGGGCATATCGATTGAGAGTGTGATGGTTGGTGGGAGGTGGGTGGTGGTGGGAATGCCGCTGGGACCAGAATCGCCTCACATGCCCCACTGAAGTCCAGAGCAGCATAGCACGCTGCTGCCGTTGCCATCTGTGGGATGGGATGCGGGGTGGGATGAGGGGGGCGGGGCAAGGAGTAGGAGTGTGCGTGATGCAGGGGTTGGTGGTTCTGGATGGCCTTAGTTACTGCTGGCACCAGAATCGCCACACACACCCCACTGAAGGCCAGAGCAGCATCGCACGCTGCTGCTGTTTCCATCTGTGGGGAGGAAGGAAGGGACACAAGGAAATGGTGGGGGTAATACGGATGAAGGGGGTTGATGGGGATAGAAAGGGTGGGAGGTACAGAGGGGTGTGCTTGGTAATCTGATGTCAGAATCGCCTCAAATGCTCCGCTGAATTCCAGAGAAGCATAGCACGCTCTGCTGCCGCCATCTGCAAAAACGGTGGGGAGGGGTAGAAAGGGGTGAAGTGAAGGTTGCTGAAAGAATCGCCTCACATATGCCTTCTACACAAGGAGGGAAGAGGGGAAGTGATGGGTGGAGGAGGCAATTGAGACAGACCTCTTTAATGAGACAAAACGGAGGTAAAGACAAATTCTTAGCAGTTTAGTTAGCATTTCTTGAGTTGACTGAATGGGTGCATTGGGAACAGAGGCTCTTTATGAGAGACAGAGCATGGGTAGAGTAAGACCCATAATTTGTCGATGGTGACAGAGCACCCTCACTATGTGGAGAACTGAAACTGAGAGGAAGTGAGGAAAGTGAGCGAGAAAATGAGAGACACCAGAGAAAGTGAGAATGAAGTGAGTGAGGGGAAAAGTAAGAGGATGATTTGGGAGATTAAGCAGAAAGAAACAGGAACGGAGACATTGAGAGAGCGCGCGAGGGCACTGACAGATGCAGCAGTGGTGGTGCGGAGAGGATGGTCGAGAGGCAGAGCAGCGGAGTCAATGCTAAGAGTACTGCTGCAGTTCTTCTTGAGCAGACCCAGCGTGCGATTCACCAGATTGCCTGGGGGTGATGAGAGGGAGAGAGGGAGGGAGGGAGAGAGCGAGGGAGTGAGAGGGATGGCGATCTTTTGGCTGTGGGGTGATGCAAGTAGAAGGGGCTGTGAATGTGCTGCTGCACTTCGTCTTGAGCAGACCCGGCGTAGATAAGGGGAGAGGCGGAGAGGCATGGTAAGGTTGCTGCAGGCTCGCTTGGTTGACAGAACCACACCGTCCACAAGCGTTTCCGGAAAAAGAAAACGTATACACACAAATATAAAGTCGAGATAGCAACACCCACCTAGTGACTACCTCTTAAATACCGACCAACTGCCTCCCCGCCACTGCTCTGCGGTGACTTAGCGAGATTGGCATTGGCGATGTTAACGAATCGCTGTCGCGGAAAGCCATCCGCCATCCGCTGACTGACAATGTTGCAATCTCCATGACTTGGCAGCCAAGTGGCCTACCTACCCAGCACCTAAGCCCCTCTCTCCCCCTTGGCCCCCTTTTCCTCCACCTCCCACCCACCCACCAATGGTGTTCGCAAGGTTTGCATTGACAATGTTGACGAATCGCTCTTTGGAGAAATCCCCATCGCTGCCAGACTCGATCTCCCGCAGGAAGAAGTAATAGCCCCTACCTACTCCGCCCTCCTCCCCTCCTTCCCAACCCCTAGACCCCCGACCTCCCACTCACCAATGGTGTTCGCGAGGTTGGCATTGACAATGTTAACGAATCGCTCCTTAGAGAAGTCTCCATCGCTGCCAAACTCGATCTCGCGCAGGAAGAAGTATCGCACCGCGTCCGCTCCAAAGGTTGTCACCAATTCATCGGGGTCGATAGTGTTGCCAAGAGACTTGCCCATCTTGTGCCCGTCCTGATGCAAGGAAACGGAGGGAGAGAGGTGGTGGAGAGGGGCAATGCGGGTCAATGGTGTTGCCCAGGGACCTGACCATCTTGTGCCCGTCCTCTGATTATATACGGGATGAGAGAAAACAGAAATGAGGGGGGGGAGGGGGGGGAGAGGGAAAGAGGAAGAGGGGAAGAGCGAGGGGGACAGAAGGAAGTATCGCACGGCATCGGCTCCAAAGGATGTCACCAGCTCGTCTGGGCCAATCGTGTTGCCCAATGACTTGCCCATCTTGTGCCTGTTCTGTGGTGATGTATGGGATGGGAGGGAGAGGAAACGAGGAAGAAATGCGGGACGAGGCAACCTTGATGAAAGATGGATCATGAAAAAAGTTTCTGGGAATTCTCAAAAACGAGATGGATGGCAAAGGGGATAGAATATGGATGGTGCAAATGCAGTCAGGTTTGGGCCCTTCGATGTGGGTGCCATGGGTGCCATGGGTGCCATGGGTGCCATGGGTGCCATGGGTGCCATGGGTGCCATGGGTGCCATGGGTGCCATGGGTGCCATGGGTGCCATGGGTGCTATGGGTGCCATGGGTGCCATGGGTGCCATGGGTGCTATGGGTGCCATGGGTGCCATGGGTGCCATGGGTGCCATGGGTGCCATGGGTGCTATGGGTGCCATGGGTGCCATGGGTGCCATGGGTGGGTGCGATGACTTGCCTTGGTTAGAAAGCCGTGGCCAAAGACTGTAGTTGGGGTCGGCAGGCCGGCAGACATGAGCATGGCTGGCCAGTACACTGCGTGGAAGCGCAGAATGTCCTGCGAGGAGGGAGGGAAAGAGGGTAGTGGGGGAGGAGGACAGGGGCAGAGAGAAAAAAGGGAAAGGGAAGAGGCAAGTGGGAAAGTGAAACGGGCCAATCAAGCACCGGCAGACTACAGCACGGCAGGCCAGTAGGCTGCACTCCCTCTGCTACAGTCACAGCCACTTGGCCCCACATAGTCACATCACACCCCGCCCGCCTTGCCAATGATATGTGCGGACGCAAGCCACCCCCTGGAGCGGAGACTGCCGTGTCGAGGCTTGGCTCATCGCCCGCCTGCAATGTGCACTGGCAACCCCCTTCACCACTCACAACCACACCACACCCCTCTTCGCCCCTCACAGCCACATCCCACGCCCCACCTTGCCAATGATGTGAACGGACGCGGGCCATCCCCTCGAGACTGCCGTGTCCAGGCTTGGCTCATCACCCTCCTCCAACAGCGCTGAGATGTACCTGCGATGTGTGGTGGGGTAGGGAGAGGCCGTGCAGAGAGGGGAGGAGATTACAAATAGGGGGTTAAGGGAGGGACGACTGAATCCTGATCACTTGAGGGCTGCACTGCTGTGCCGAGGCGTGGCTCGTCACCCTCCCCCAACAGCGCTGAGATGTACTGAGTCTGTTTTTTTATAATTCCCAAAAAGCATACCTGTTGCAGTGGGGTGGATGGGTGTCTGCGGCGCTGAGACATAGGCGGCGCTGTGTCTGCACATAGTTCACATCCAAACAGACTCACCTCGGCAGCGTGTCGAATCACACGTCGATGGTTCTCTCTGGAACATCCGGCACAGAATGCCCCACTGCATGGTAGACGGTCTCACATCAGATCACAGCAGTGCATTGATTGAACCAGCCTCACCATAGAAATGCGTTGAATTAACTCACCCCAGCAGAGCATCGAAGCACACGTAGATGGTCTGCTCTGGGACATCCGGCACGAGGATGCCCCGTGCCACTGCCTGCCGCAGCAGAGGAGCATTAGCAGAGTGGCACAGGCAAACTGGCAGGCAGAGACATACTCACCCTAGCAGAGCATCGAACCACACGTAGATGGTTTGCTCTGGGACATCTGGCACGGGAATGCCCCATGCCACGGCCGCCCGGCTGATGCTGAAATCCCTCGCTCCCTCCGCCACCCACGCCAGCACCTGATGGTTCGAGAAGGGAGGGAAAGATCGCGAAAACCTTTGAACACATGGAAACATCCGGCACAGGAATGTCCCCCACTACCACGCCACAGACGCTCTGGGACACCCGGCACGGGAATGGCCCATGCCACCGCTGCCCGGCTGATGCTGATGTCCCCCCCTCCCTCTGCCATCCAGACCAGCACCTGATTGGGTCGAGAGAGAGGGAAGAGAATCAAGGCAACATCTGAGCACAAGGAAATGAGGCTGCTTGGTCACCAGGTCAACATTCGTCTCCCCTCTTTCCACCGGGTCGACTCACAAATACACTCACCTCGTTTCGTTTTTTTATCTGGGCTGCACGAATGAATGTTGGCCGGACCTCGAACAGCTGTTCCAAGGCGTGCTGGTGGGAAAAGAGAGCGAATGTTTTCCCTCTTTACCAGGTCAGCTCCCCCTAGAAAACTCATTTGTCGCACATACCTCGTTCTTACTGAAACTGGGCTGCACGAATCACGGTCTGACCTGGAACAGCTGCTCCAGAGCGAGCTGGTGCGAGGAGAGTGCAGAGAAGATGCTGCTTGTTCACCGCCCAGCTTCTCTTTTTCCGCTCATCCTTTTCCTTCCCCAATCTCCTCTCTCACCACGTTCTTTCTAAAGCTCGGTTGCACAAAATTGGGCTCGTCCTGAAACAGCTGCTCGAGCACGTGCTGGTGCGAGGAGGAGGGGAGGTTGTCCTCTGGATCGACTCACAAATCTCCTCCTCCCTCTTCCCCATGACCGCTCACCTCGTTTTTTCTGAAGCTCGGCTGGACGAAATCGGGTCTGTATTGGAAAAGCTTCTCCAGGTCATGTTGGTGCGAGGAGAGCGCAAAGAAGAGGTTGTCCTCTGGTTTCACTCAAAAGTCATCTCCTCCCTCGTCCACTCTTCTCACCTCGTTCTTTCTGAAACTGGGCTGGACGAAATCGGGTCTGTCCTGGAAAAGCTTCTCCAGGTCATGTTGGTGCGAGGAGAGCGCAAAGAAGAGGTTGTCCTCACTGCGGTGGTCGCAGGGCGTGAGGTGCGTGGGGCACGTGGTACCATCCACCAGCTCCTTCTCGTCCTGCCACGGAGGGGTGTTGGTTGGAGGAGGCAAGAGGGAGGCAAAGAAGAGGTTGTCCTCGCTGCGGTGCTCGCAGGCGGTTAAGTGCGTGGGACACGTGGTGCCATCCACTAGCTCCTTCTCGTCCTGATGAGGAGGGGTTTTACAAGGCACGTGGTAGCAGAGGAGGGAAAAGAAGAGGTTATCCTCGCTTCGGTGCTCGCAGGGCGTGAGGTGCGTGGGACGTGTGGTGCCCTCTAGCAACTCCTTCTTGTCCTACCAATGAACGCATGTGAAAGCAGAGAAGGGACGGAAAGGAAAGAGCAAAGAAGAGGTTTTCCTCGCCGCAGTGCTCACAGGGCGTCAGATGCATCTAGCAAGCAATGAGCACCGGGACAGGTGGTGTTATCCAGCAAGCAATGAAAGTATCTGTTTCACCTTATACTCCTCACACGCAATGCAGTAGCACCCCTTGTACTGCGCGCGATACACGCCCCCCCGTGCCTTCATCCGCTCATAGAACTGCCCCCTGTCTTGTACTCGTTGCTCCTCACACACAACACAGTACCACCCCTCGTACTGCACGCGTTACACAATCCCCCTGTGCCTTCACGCGCTCGTAAAACAACCCTGCTTGTACTCCCTCCAAGCATCTCACCTTATACTCCTCACAAGCAATGCAGTAGCGTCCCTCGTACTGAGCCCGGTACACGTCGCCCCTCGCCTTGACTCGATCGTAGAACTGCCGCACCACGGCTTCGTGGCGGGGCGAGGTGGTGCGGATGAATCGATCGTACGCAATGTCCAGCTGGAAAAGAGGGGGTGGAGAGGGGTGGAGAGGGGTGGAGAGGGGTGGAGAGGGGAAAAGACAGGAACGAATGAGGTGCATGCGTGGGAATGAGAATGCCGGACTATGGCTGAAAGCACAGCCGCACCACTGCTTCATGGTGGGGCGATGTGGTTCAGATGAATCGACCGTAGGCAATGTCCAGCTGGAGTGGTGGAGAGGGGTGGAGAGGGGTGGAGAGGAGAATATATTGGGGAATGAGGGGCATACGGTACATGGGAATGAAGCTGCCACCCCTATGGCTGAACGAACCGCCGCACCATGGCTTCATGGGAGGTGATGTGGCGCGGGTGATACGATCATAGGCAATGTGCAGCTGGAAGGGAGGGGCGGAGGGTGGGGAGAGACGAGGTAGGGAGAGTGGGCGTTTGGGGACGTCTTTAGAGTCGACTCACAACTTGGGGACGTCTTTTGAGTCGACTCACAACTTGGGGACGTCTTTTGAGTCGACTCACAACTTGGGGACGTCTTTTGAGTCGACTCACAACTTGGGGACGTCTCGCACGCAGGGAAGAGGGAGAGCGGAGGGGGTACGGATGGGAGGAGGCCAAAATGAGGAAACGAGGGAATGATGCCCCTCACACAACCAACCCTTCTCCACCACACCCAACCTTGACGCCAAAGGCATCCTTAGTGGCCCCCCTACCTCGACCTTGCTCCAACGCCCCCCACCGCACCCCACCTTGCTCCACAGCTGCTTGTACTCCCCAACCTCACTGTCGCAGTGCTGCTGCAGCGTGTCTACCAAGCACACTCAATGGGCTCACCGCCAGGACTATCCAACCCTCAAGCACCCCACCTCTCACCACCACATCCCACCTTGCTCCACAGCTGCTTGTACTCCTCAGCCACGGCATCGCAGTGCTCCTGAGGCGTGCGCCCGTTCTTAGCCGCCGCGAGGGCGATCTTCTCCCCGTGCTCGTCCGTGCCCGTCACGAATGTCACGTCCTTTCCTTGCAGGCGCTGCAGTGGATGCGTGGGGCGACGGGGAGGAGGGAGGAAAGGGGAACACGTGTCAAGGTGGGTAGCACCGCCAGGGCGATCTTCTCCCCATGCTCGTCCGTGCCCGTCACGAATGTCACGTCCTTTCCTTGCAGGCGCTGCGATGAGTGGGTCAGAGTGGGTCAAAAAGGGTCATAATAGGTCAACTTGGTTCAACTTGGGTAAGAACGTGTCAGTGCGATCTTCTCCCCATGCTCGTCCGTGTCTGTAACAAACGTCACCTCCTTCCCTTGCAGGCGCTGAGGCGGTTTGGGGTGGTGTGACAGTGGGTCAACGTGGGTCAAAGTGGGTCAAAGTGGGTCAAAGTGGGTCAGAATATGCCAGGGCGATCTTCTCCCTCGTCCGTGCCCGTCACAAACGTCACCTCCCTGCCTTGCAGGCGCTGCAACGAGCGAGGGAGGAGAGGGGGGAAGGGAAGGAGAGAGTATGCGCCTTGGTGTGTGGAGTGTGTGCGGCCGCAAGTGCAATCTTCTTCCCGTGCTCGTCCGTGCCCCTGACAAACGTCACCTCTCCTTGCCTTGCAGGCACTGGAGTAGGGGTGTGGGGACGGAGGGTGACGGGTCAATGTGGGTCAACGTGGGTCAACGTGGGTCAACGTGGGTCAGAACCTGCCAGAGCAATCTTCTCCTCATCCTCGTCCGTGCCCGTCACAAATGTCACCTCCTTGCCTTGCAGGCGCTGCAGCAGGGGGGGGGGGAGATGGGGATGCAGAGCAGAGCGAAAGGGTCAAGTCGTGTCATGTCAAGGTGTGTCGCGCCAATGGATCTTCTCGCCATGCTCGTCCGTTCCACAAAAGTCACGTCCCTGCCATTGCAGGCGCCACAGCGGAAGAGGGTAGAGTAGAGGGTAGGAGGTAGAGGGAGGGGAATGGTGAAGAGGAGGGAGATTGGGCCAACGTATGTCAGAAAATGCCAGTGCCATCTTAATCTCTTGCTTGTCACAGAAGCCACCTCCCTGCCTGCCTCGGTGCCGCTGCGGCAGGGTAAGCGCAGCAATGGGGTAAGTAGACGACTTTTGAGACGTCTCAAAAGTCGTACGCACCTCGAACCGAAGCCCTCTACTTTCCAACTTCCTCCTACCATCCTCTACCCCCTCCGTTTTCCAGTCCTACCTGGAATCGCGCCAATGCGTCGGCGGCTATAGTGGGGTAAGCGGACCCCATGTGCAGCCCCACTCTCTCCCCTTCCACCGCATTGCACCGCTCCCAACATACCACGAACGGTCACCTATCTCCCTCATCACACCTGGAACCGCGCCAGTGCGTCAGCGGCTATAGTGGGGTAAGCGGATCCCATGTGCGGCGGTGGTGCATCAGCGGCTGTACCCTCACCTGGAACCGCGCTAGTGCGTCCGCGGCTATAGTGGGGTAAGCGGACCCCATGTGCGGCGCCGCGTTCACATAGTACAGCGGCGTCGTCACCACGAACCGCTCGCGCGCGCCGCCTTGCTCGTCCCCGCCCGCCGCGCCGCATCGCGCCGCCCTCGCGCGCCTCGGTACTAGGCGCGCCGTGGACCAGATCCCGCCGAGCCGCGAGGAGAGCGCGATAGGACGGTAGTGGGTAGAGCTAGAGAGATAATGAGGGGTGCGGTGTGGTGGGGTGAAGGGTGATGATAACCGTGAGACCGCGGCGGGTGGCTTCGAAGAATCTTCGTGATGGTGGATGGAAGGGAATAAGGAGCGACTAAGAGAGGGGGAGAGAGCGGCTCGAGAAGACGAACTAATCATTGTGGCGGGCGTTGCGGCGTATCTAGCGGCGGATGTCGCGCCGGAGGTCAGGGCGGTTGTCGCAAGACTCGCCGCGGCTCGGGCTGGCGGAATCCCGTGGAAGTCGGAGACGGCGGACGTGGCGGAAGGGCGGAGAAAAGGCGGGGAGGGGAGCAGAATTGGTGCGGAAGAACGGAGAGCAGGCGAGGAAGCGTGGATTGCGGAGGCGAAGGGGCTATGGGGCGACGCAAGTGCCCTGAGGAGCGGCGACGATACGCGCATCGACCGACGAGCGCGACGCGACGGATGCGGCGGGGTCAGTGGGATCGAAGGGATGCGATGGACTATTGGGTTCGTCGCGTCCTACACACACCGCCTTTGGCAATTCGCCAATCACGACTCTCAGCGGCTTCTGCCAAGTCAGGGTGCTGCTGGATAAATGACCTGGAGGTTGGTTGGCTGGTTTGCCTCGAAGTTGACGGGCCCGGCTTGTTAGTGGTTTTAATCGCGGTCTGCAACGTGGAAGCCGCTGAGACTACCAATGCTGACGTGGAACGGAGGCAGCAAAGTCGTGGCTTGGGCGTGAACCAGTCATGGACATCCTCGTTTGAGACGTTAGCGAATACTAAAATGTTATGAGTGTAGATGTGCAAAGCCTAACAACTGCAAAAGTCGCATGCGAAATGCAAGCCCAGCCACGCCCAAGCGAAGGCACATGTGCGGTTACATTTTGTGTCGTCGCGAACATGTGGTTCTCGTCGTCCCGTCCCGTGCCAGCTCAACAAGTCGGGGTCGCAACTGTGTACGGCGGTGGTCCCGAGGGCGAATCTCGCAAGTCTCGCACCATTGATGAGTTCATCTCTCCCTAAGACCAACTTACACCGCTTTAGAACGTGTAAGAATCGTTCTGAAGCAAACATCACCTCACTACACCCAAGGTCATTCACCCAAGCAAAGATGTGGAACATTCAAGCAATATATTTTTCCAAAGCAAGCGAATTCTTTTTGCTCCTATCCGCACCTCCCATTTCGCCTCTCTCCCAGATACTCACTGAACTGTTGTTGTTTCTCTCTGACTCTGCCCCTTTTCCGCCCCTTTCTATCCTCTCCTTTCGCTGCGCGACTGGTTTAGTAACGGCGTGTTTGCCGCCCCCCGATCTATCAGCGGTTGGATTCTTGAGCACTAGGAGGGCGACCCGAATCGTCGTCGTCGTCTGATCGTCCAGTCGAGTCAAGCGACACCCGTCGCACGTGTCGCACGTGTCGCACGTGTCGCACGCGCCGCCATGGGGTGGTACACGTCGCTTATCGTGCTTGTCGTCGCCGTCGCCGCGGCGGCCGTTCTCTCGCCCGACGCCATGGTGCGTGCGTCTCTTGTCTCTCGTCACTCGTCTCTCTCCTCGCTCTCACAGCTCCCCTATTGTTCACCGCGCATGTCGTACCCGACGCCTTGATGCGCGCGCCCCCCACCTCCCTCTTTTTCCCTTCTCTCCCTCACGCCCGACGCGTGCGTCACTCGTTTCTCTCTCACAGCTCCCCTACCGTGCATCGCGCATGTCGTACCCGACCTCAATGTGCGTGCGTGCAAGACTTTCCCCTCGCGCCGCTCATGCCTCCGCTGTGTTCTCTGTGTACTGCGGATGCGTTTTCCCCTCCTCGTCTTCTGAGGCGCCTCTTTTTTTTAGGATTTTTTGGGCGCCTCAAAAATCGCTGCGTTCTCTTTGCACTGCGGATTCGTTTTTCCCTCCTCGTCTTGCCTTCCGTCATCTCCACTTCCTTCTCTCCGTCCCCCGGGCCCCTTTCCCCCCTCCAGCTACCATACGGCCGCGCTGCCGAGTCCAACGGCCTCTTCCTCTCACCCACGGCGTTCGCAGCGCTGCGGTTCGCCCACGTGCTGTGCTGCTCCGTGGCTTTGACGCTCTCTTCTTCCCTTCTTCCCTCCTTGTCCCCCCGTCCAGCTGCCCTACGGCCGTGCCAGCCCCACGGGTGCTCCCTTCATCTCGCCATCAGCGTTCGCAGCGCTGCGCTTCGCTCCACGTGCTGTGCTGCTCCGTGGCTCTGATGCTCTCTCTTCCTCAACCCTCCTTCCCTTCCTCCCGTCCCCCCTCCAGCTGCTATACCGCGCCAAGCCCAACGCCCCCTTCCTCTCGCCCTCGGGGTTCGGAGCGCTGCAGTTCGTCCACATGCTGTGCTGCTCCGTGGCTCTGACGTGCCCTCTCTTCTTCCCTCACTCCCGTCCTTCCCGCTCCCCCCTCCAGCTGCCATACCGTACCAAGCCCAACACCCCCTTCCTCTCACCCACGGCGTTCGCAGCGCTGCGCTTCGCCCACGTGCTGTGCTGCTCCGTGGCTCTGGGGGCGTCTGTGTGGGTCACCTTCTTTGCTGGCGTCATCATGTTCCGGTGCGATAAGGGATGGGGGATGGGAGTAGTGATGAGAGTACTGACTCGTGAAACTAGCTGCTAGGGGGAAGGCATGTAGGTGGGTGGCACAGACACATGCTCCGTGGCTCTGGGGGCGTCGGTGTGGGTGACCTTCGTTGCCGGTGCCATCATGTTCCGGTGCGTTGAAGAATGAGAATTTAGAGATGGGAGGTGGGAGATTGAACGAGTGATATGGGAGATTAGCTGAGAGGGAAATGAGAGGTGGGTGGGTCGCACGGACGCATGGTCACTGCTGCTGGGGGCGTCTGTGTGGGTCACCTCCGTTGCTGGTGTCATCGTGTTCCAGTGCGATGGGAGATGAGAGATGCGAGATGAGAGATGGGAGATGGGAGATGGGAGATGGGAGATGGGAGATGGGAGATGAGAGATGAGAGATGGGAGATGGGAGATGGGAGATGAGAGATGGGAGATGGGAGATGGGAGATGGGAGATGGGAGATGGGAGATGGGAGATGAGAGATGGGAGATGGGAGATGGGAGATGGGAGATGGGAGATGGGAGATGGGAGATGGGAGATGAGAGATGAGAGATGGTAGATGGGAGATGGGAGATGGGAGACGGGAGGACAAGTACGTGAGAGTAGCTGCGAGGAAGATGAGAGGTAGGTCACACAGTCACATGGTCACTTGGGGAGTTCACCATCTTTGCTAGCGTCATCATGTTCCGGTGGGGGCAGAGGAATGAGAAATGACAAATGGGAGATAAGAGGAGTGACTCATTGCGAGGGAGATGATTGGTACGATAGGATTCAGAGGCAGTGTTGTGAGGCGAGTGCATTCAGGGCCTGCAGCCCTTCCAGCAGGCGTGCGCGGCGTGTGGTGGCACATGAGCTGCAGCCCATCTCTTTCAACCCCCCGTCATCCCTCCCTCTCCCCCCGCGTTCCCCCCTTTCCCCCCAGCCCTTCGGCAGCATTCAGGGTCGTCTCTTCCCAGCCTACTTCCGCTGCCCTCTTTCCAACCCCCCCTTTCCTCTTGCCCTCTTTGCCCTCTTTCCTCACCTGCACCCACGCAGCCACCTGCCCCGACACACCTTCGGCAGCATCCAGGGTCGTCTCTTCCCGGCCTACTTCCGCCTTGTCGCTCTCTGCTCCGCCCTCTCCGCCCTCGCGCTCAAACTCACACTCAACCCCACTGCTGAATCTGCTGCTTCCGGGGCAGGGGGGTTGCAGCAGGTGCAGCTGCTGCTGCTGCTGGCTGCCCTTGGGGCAGCGCTGCTGAATCTGCTGTTGTTCGAACCTATCACCACCAAGGTTAGTCAAAGCGATCTGTGAGGCGCCTCAGAAAGCATCTGAGGCTGCTGCTGGGGCAGGGGGGTTGCAGCAGGTGCAGCTGCTGCTGGTGGTGGCTGCTCTTTCTGCTGCGCTGCTGAATGTTCGAGTCTATTACCACCAAGATGCGTTGAGAGAGAGGTAGTTAGGCAGTCATAATGTACTTGTCAATTTTTGAGGCGCCTCAAAAGTTGTGAGAGAGGCAGTCATGCTTTACTTGGTGCCATATGAGCTGAATGAGCTGAATGAGCCGAATCAAATCTGCTGCTGCTACTACCTGCCCATGCTGTCTCTGCACTCTGTTCACTCCTCTGTTGCTCGAGTCTGTCACCACCAAGGTGCATCCGTGCATTCATGCCTTCTCTCCCTTGCCTTCACCCCATTCATCTTGTTCTCACACAGATCATGCGGGAGAGGCACCGCATAGTGAAGGAGGCATGGATAGGGAACGAGGAGGGGCCGTCGCGCAACAGAGGTTGACCTGTTTGTTCCTGCCGTACATTCATTCTTTCATGCTTTCTTGCATTCGTGCTCCCACACAGATCATGCGGGAGCGACACCGCATAGAAAAGGACGCGGGCATCGGGCAGGAGGTGGGGCTGTCGCGCAACAGGGAGGTGGCACGGACCAATAAGGAGCTGGCAGCTGTCAACCGCCGGTTTGGCATGTGGCACGGCATGTCCTCGCTCTCCAATCTCGTCGCCCTCTGCTCCTTGGGTGCTCACGCGTGGTTCCTCTCTCAGCAGCTCCCGGCCTAGCTGCTAAATTTGAGGCGCGTCACAATAATCTTCTTTGGTTGCTCACTCGTGGTCGCTTGCGCAACAGCTCCCCGTCTAGCTTCGGTTCCTTTTCCCATTCACTAAGAAGCTGATACCAGTAATTGTTAGCAAGTTGCAGACATGTGGTACGGCATGTCCTCGACTCCTCGCTCTCCAACCTCGTTGCCTTATGCTCTCTGGGTGCTCATGCTTGGTTCCTGGCTCAGCAGCTCCCGGCCTAGTAGCTATTGCTGAGGCCCTCTTGCATTGCATTGTGTGGTTGATGTAGTGTACACATGACTGGAGCACCCCCCGCCCCCCCCCAATCAGCGATAGAACCGCTGTACCCCAAACGTGGTTTTTGTTGTACCATGGCTGATTCAGTGGCTGTTTTTCAAACTTCCGTCTGATGTGTACACAAACATTCCCATCGCATGATTTACAAGCTTCCAGAGGTTGTTGTGATGCATCAGCTCCCACCAAAGTTGCATCAGACTTACAAGAATCTTCATAGGATCCGAAATTACTAGTAGTGCGTTGGGTTTCCGGAATGAAAATTGATTCCGTATCCTCTATTACGGTATATGACATGGACGAGTGATTTTCTATATGATAATAGATTCCCTCAAAGAGTTCAACCTGGCCAGGCAGGTACACGAGGTGTAGTGTAGTTTGAACACTGATGTAGCCGTTGTCGCGAAGCTGTGCGACGATATTAGAATCGCTACTAGTCGCAGGAGGATATCGAGCAGTCGCGATTCCAAAATCGTCGAAATATTTGCGCGGGGTGCTTGCCGCTGGAGTCTACTAGCATAGATAGAACTGCAGTTAGTGCCCGACGTTACGTTCGCTTGGTGGAGGGAAGGAGGACCACACCTAGGCTACTGGAGGTGATTTTTGAAGTTCTAACCACTAAGAGAATATTCCTGTTCACTTAGGTTCCAACGCTCAGCAGCTCATCCCTGGTTTCAGGTGAACAGGGCTTCAATATTGTGGGTCGTTATCCGATCCGAGCTGTTAACATAAACACTTCCGGTAGGTTCCGCGACAGGTGCGACGATACGATCACCTTGGTGATTCCGTCAGGCGTTTTGAAATACGGCTTGGCACCTTGTGAGACGATACCGCATTATGCGATCCTGTCCAGCGCGTCCGCGATAAGCTAAGACCTAGTGTTATCGGCTCGGCTGCTGCCGCTTAGTTTCTTCGCCTGCAGTCTTCGCTAGCTTGGTCCCCTGGGATAGTCCCACGACAGCTGATAAACACGGTTGACGACATTCTCCGATCGTTACATGCGCTGCTCGTTTAACCTCCTTCGCGAACAAACTCTCGTCGCAGCACAGGGTCGGAGTAACCATTTCGGATTACCAGCACCGGCGAATCGACGATGCGGAAGCGGGAGCGCGAGAACCCATGTTACATCTGCGGGCACTACCATAAGTACGAGGAGGGGGAGCCGTGCGGGGTGTGCGGGCATCGATTAATCCCCGCGGACGAGCGCAACAGCGGCGCCGCGGCGCAGGCGCACAGCGCGTTCTCGTCGGAGATCATCCCGGGGTTCCTGTTCTGCGGGAGCTACGACAACGCGTCGCGATCGGAGCTGCTTAAGGCGCAAGGGATCACTCGGATCCTAAATGTGAGTCATTGGAGCCACAGGTGGCTTCCGAGACGCCTCGAAAGCCGATCGGAGCTTTTTAAGGCGCAAGCGATTAAACGTGACTGCGAGCTTAGCTGTGCAAGTCACGCCGTTCTCTCTATATGGAGGGGATTGGGGAGGTGGAAGGATGAAAGAGAGGAGGTGCGGAGAAGAGAAATAAATCTGCACGTTGCCTTTATCATCCCTCCAAGTGTTCAATCTTAAAATGCCATCACGGCATGTTAACCGTGTCCATCTTTGTTCCCTTCACTCTTCTCATCCACGCTCCCCTCCTCTCCCTCCTCCTCGTGTGGTGTGCCCTGGTTTTGCGCCGTGGCTGGTGGCTGTGTGCTATGATTGCTACCCCCTGCAGACGGTGCCCACGTGTCAGAACCTTTATAAGAACTCCTTCGTTTATCACACAGTGCAAGACAGCAAGGTCATTCCCTTTGAGGAATGCAACCAATTTATTGGTATTCTTTCATCCCGTGCCATGCTTTCCTCGCCATGTCATGCCATGCCGTGCCATGCCATGCCATGCCATGCCATGCCATGCCGTGCCATGCCATGCCATGCCATGCCATGCCGTGCCATGCCGTGCCATGCCATGCCATGTCACCATGACCTCCCATGCCAACTGCCCCTTCGCATTTTCGCCCCATCATTCAGTCCTTCCTTCAGGCCGTGCATACACGCCTATTCTTCCCTCTCCCCCGGTCATTCTGTCCACGCTCAATCTCCTCGCATCGTCCCCCCCGCGCCCCTCCTAGCCTTACCGCCGTTTTCCCATCACCAACATCATCACTCCTCTGTTCAATCCTCCGTCCCTCCCCGGCTCCCCGTTTCGTCGCTTTTGAGGCGCCGCATAACCCTTCCGCTCCCATCAACCAACGGCATTATTCCCTCATTCGATCCGTCCTCAATCCCGTTTCTCATCCCTTCAACCTCAACATCCTCTCGCTCCCCTTCCGCCCCACCTTTCCCCCTCACCCAACCACCTCGGCCACAGAGCAATGTGAGCGGGAGCAGGCGAAGGTGCTGGTGCACTGCATGTCAGGCCAAAGCAGGTGAAACCCCCCATGTGTGCCCTTAGCCATGTACACTTAGCCTTAGTTGTCACACCCATCAGGGTTCGCACTGAAACCTGCCCTGCCAACGGAGCGATGTGAGCGGGAGCAGGCGAAGGTGCTGGTGCACTGCATGTCGGGCCAGAGCAGGTGAAACCCCTCGTTTCAAATGCCCTCGTTTTCAGAGCAGGCCTTCATAACTAGATCCACCAGAGGCTGCTCTGAAAACCGCCCTGTCAGTGGAGCACGTGAGGGGACGAACGCCAAGCTGCTTGTGCACCGTGGTCTGGTCTGAGACAAAGGAACGATGATGCTCAATGTCATGTTCATGCCCGCTTGATGCGGGCCAAGGCAGCTAAGACGATGCATGCTGTGAAGAACGCACCCTGCCTGCCAATCCGTTCCCAAATCTCCACCTTCCCCCTCGTCTCCCTTCCCCTTCCCTTCCCTCCTCCTGCATCCTCCATCCTCCCCCTCCATCTCCTCCCCCTCCATCTCCTCCCCCTTCATCTCCTCCCCCTCCATCTCCTCCCCCTTCATCTCCTCCCCCTTCATCTCCTCCCCCTCCATCTCCTCCCCCTCCATCTCCTCCCCCTCCATCTCCTCCCCCTCCATCTCCTCCCCTCCATCTCCTCCCCCTCCATCTCCTCCCCTCCATCTCCTCCCCCTCCATCTCCTCCCCTCCATCTCCTCCCCCTCCATCTCCTCCCCCTCCATCTCCTCTCCCTCCATCTCCTCCCCCACCATCTCCTCAGCCCACTTATTCCTCCCACCCGCATACTAGTGGTGGGTACTTGATGCGGGCCAAGGGGGTTATGATGATACATGCTGTGAACAACACGCCCTGTCAGTCCTTCAACCACCCCCCTTTCCCCCTTTCGTTCCCATCTCCTCTTACTGCAGGTCGCCAGCAGTGGTGGTGGGATACCTGATGCGGGCCAAGGGGTTTCAAATTGTTCTTGTCAATAACAACCCTCAGTCTCACTCCCCCTTACTCCCCTTTCCCCCACCCCACCCACTCTCACCCCCCCTTGCTACAGGTCGCCAGCAGTGGTGGTGGGATACCTGATGCGGGCCAAGGGGGTCAAACTGGCCGAGGCCGTCGCATGGGTGACAGAGAGACGGCCGTCGGTCAACATACAGCCGGGTAGGTCAATCTGATGCCCTTGCTGCATACGAGGGAGGGAACATACAACGAAAGAGGCCCATACAGCCAAGTATGCTTGTCTGGAGGAGCATGTGAGGGAGCGTGGTGCATGCATTCAGGACTGAACAGCAGCCAATCCGTGGTTTGCGTGTGGTGTTCCCTTCCCACTCGTACCCTCCCGCACACCACCATCTACTCCCTCTCCCCCTCTCCCTTCCACCGCCCCCTTCCCTCCCTCGTCTCGCTCTGCCAGCCATGCTCAGCCAGCTGCAAGCCTTTGAAGCCCGCCTCTTTGGAGGCGATGCCGCTCTGAATTCTTCCGACCAGCAGCAACAGCAACAGCTGCAACAACAGCAGCAGCAGCAGATTCAGCAGGCAGGGGCACCGTCAGGCCACATCACTCCTCTCTCTGCTCCCGGCCAGTTCTCCGCCAACACCACCGCTTCCCCCTCCTCCTTCCCACCGCTCCCCAACTTCCCATTCCCCATGCCGCCCTTTCCCCTAGGCCCTGATGCCAATCCTGCTGATGCTGGTGCTGCTCCTCCGTTTGCAGGCATGCCCCCTCTAGCCCCTGTCCCCTTCCCGCCTATCCCTGGCATGCCAGGTGGCGGCATGCCATTCGCCTTCCCTGGTATGGGGGCTGGCGCAGGGGGGAATCCTCCAGAGGGGTTTGTGTTTGGGGCAGCGGGGGAGGCAAACAGAGGGGGTGCAGGGCAGGGGGGGAACGGGGGGCAGTGAATGCAGCTGAGAGTACGATTGACCGATGGGTCATTCATGGTATGATTAACGCCATGGTCAGTCCCCATGCTGCTATACCTACGAGCATGGGGTTGGGCTGAGCCTGATACAAACTGCTATACCTATAATTAGAAACATTGCCCCTGGTTGAGGAATGGTACGGCAGCAGTTGCCATTTTTTCTATGGGTAGGAGAGGCTCCAGGTATTAGGGTTCTGTTCCGGAACCTACAGCCGTACATTATTTGTATGTTGAGCCTAGGAATATCCCCAACATTTCTTCATTGTGAAATTCGTATCAATTACTACACATGTATGTACAGCACAACTACCACATTACTTTCCTCCGATGCCCGCGTTTCAGCTGCAATTATTGGAGCGCTGCTTGACTCCTCTTCACCAACCAGCTCCCTTTCACGAGCGGCTCGACTCCTCCTACACCACACCCCCAGCCCAGGCCCCAGCCCATCCACACCCTCCGTTCGCGGTAATCTCGAAATATGATTTCAATCCGAATCCGAACGCGTTCCCTTCTCTGTTCCCCCAAACCGGACACCACCCCGCCTCACCTGCTCGTCGTCTCAATCCTGCTCTCCACCATCAGCAACGCTGCTACGCTAGAAAGCAGGCGAGCAGTGCAAGGTAGGGGCACATCATCTTCTGTGTGCGCCAAGCAATCACTCGGCATACGTATTTCAACTTCGCAAGCTCTTACCGTAGTCAACCCTCCCGAAATTATTTTCCGCTGTCACAGTAACTAGAGCTCGCCACGCACCCCGCAACAAGCTCTTCCTTACAGCTCCGCACATCGCGTTTACCCTTCAAAATACCACACGCGTTCAAAATACCCTTCAAACCACAGGCCACCGCCATTCCCGCTCTCTGCCTCCTCCCCTTCTCAGCTTTGACCCATACCATCGAGCCCCATGGCTGGTGTCAAGATCACCTCGCAAGCACCTCGAATTATGCATTTCGCCTTCTCCCTTCGTCGGCCTCTCACCGTAACCGTCTTCCTCGCCGCTCTTCTTCACGCAACTGCCACAGCTGTGCCCACGGCTGCGGCCTCTACGGAGCCTGCAATGTCGAGAAACCTTCCAGCCGACACGGTCCCGCCGGTTGCCTCCAACAGGCGGCTCCTCTCTGACGCGGCGCAGCTCGATTCGTCCCAGTCAGGCCCCGTTACAGTCACATCTTCCGTCGGATCTTCGTCGCCGCATGCGACGGCTCGCATGCTCTATGCGAGGTTTCCCGAAATTCGGAACGACGATCGCGACCACGCGCATTACCTCGATCCGCAGAACCGCGCGCGCGCGGAAGTCGGCTCCCCCGCGCTCGTATGGGACGGGGAGCTCCAGGCACAGGCGGAACGACTGGCGGAGTACCTTGCGCAAAAGGAGGGATGCGCGGTGCGGCGCATGAAGGAAGTCAGCGGCGGGGTCAATCTGCGCTGGGCGGCGGAAAGCTTGGGGGTGCCCGCGGAAGCGGAATCGGCGGTGGCGGAGTGGGTGCGCGAAAAGGCGCACTATCGCATGGAAGCGTTCCCGGCGGGTTGCGCGGAAGGCAGAGATTGCACGCACTACACGCAGGTGGTGTGGAAGAAGACGGAGCGCGTCGGGTGCGGAACGGCGATGTGCAACCAAGGAGGAGCCGTTTGGGCGTGCCGTTACTTCCCGCCCGGTAATATCGAGGGGGACCGCCCGTACTAGTTCGGAGCACCTCTGATTATGCCTCCTACGCGGAGCGCGAGTGAAGGCAGATCCCACTGCATTTGGAAAGGGAGAATGACAGGCGGCAGTGTGAAGGTGAAAATTCGCATTTCGTGTTGTTGCGCGAGCAAACGTCGAAGTTACTGGCAGCAAAATAAGCAGGAAAAATGCGGTTCATCGTGCTCTACAGTAACTTTTCTTGGAAGCTAGGTAGTGTACCTGCAGAGATCTTATTGCTTCATTTAATCTCCTTGAAAGCCCCAAAAATAAACATTATTGCCTCTAATATATCAGATACACTTTTAAATGAGCCCTATGCGACAGCCCTCACCTAAATTGTAACTACAACCCAGCTAGTTGGGTTGCCAAGCTGGCAACCACATTAGGATGGTACATTCATGATTAGCAAACCCAGAGTATAGCACCCCCTCATGCAAAAGACAGCCGATGCCCCCTCATTTGCGCACTATAGGACAGCTGATACTCCCTCACTTGCGCACTAAGACAGCTGGTGCCCCCTCATTTGCGCACTAAGACAGCTGGTGCCCCCTCATTTGCGCACTAAGACAGCTGGTGCCCCCTCATTTGCGCACTTTAAGACAGCTGACGATCTCTCACGTGCGCACGAGACAGCTGACGCCACCTCAGCTGGCGCCACGTCACTTGCGCACGAGCAGCGGGCGCATCATGTCATTATCCTCGTGTTCGAGGATGTGGCAGTGCCACACGTACCCTGGACCCTGCGACGGGTCGAATGAAAACGGCTTCCCATCCTGGCATGGGGGAGGAAGGGGAAAGGAGCACGGGGGAGGGGAAAGGAGGGGGGGGCATCATGTCGTTGTCCTCGTGCTCCAGGACGTGGCACTGTCACACATACCATACCCCGGGCCCACCGACGGGTCAAATGAAAACGGCTTCACATCCTGCCGGAGGGGGGTGGGGGAGGGGAGGAAGGAGGAGGTAAGGAAAAGGAGCGGGGGGGGTCATCATGTTGCTGTCCTCGTGTTCCAGGATGTGGCAGTGCCACACGTACCCCGGGCCCACTGACGGGTCAAACTTGAAGGGCTTGCCGTCCTGCCATATGGGAGGGGAGGGGAAAGGAGGGGGAGGAAGGGGAAAGGAGGGCGGGGAGGGGAAAGGAGGGGGAGGAAGGGGAAAGGAGGGCGGGGAGGGGAAAGGAGGGGGAGGAAGGGGAAAGGAGGGCGGGGAGGGGAAAGGAGGGGGAGGAAGGGGAAAGGAGGGCGGGGAGGGGAAAGGAGGGGGAGGAAGGGGAAAGGAGGGCGGGGAGGGGAAAGGAGGGGGAGGAAGGGGAAAGGAGGGCGGGGAGGGGAAAGGAGGGGGAGGAAGGGGAAAGGAGGGGGGGGAGGGGAAAGGAGGGAGGGGAAGGGGAGAGGAGGGGGGGATGGGGCATCATGTCGTTGTCCTCATGCTCCAGGAAGTGGCACTGCCACACATACCCTGGACCCACTGATGGGTCAAACTCAAAGGGCTTCCCGTCCTGGGGGGGAGGAGTGGGAGGGGGGAATCAGGGTGGTAAAGGGGGAAGAGGGGTTGGGGGAGTGCTATTTTTGCTGCTCGTGAGGAGAGTGCTCCAGGATGTGGCAGCGCCACACATATCCCTGACGAGCAGCGCCACACATATCCCAGGCCCTGTGACGGTTCAAACGAAACAGCTTCCCTTCTTGCCATGGGAGGGAAGGGTGATGTGTAGAGGAGGGAGGGGGGGGGGGGGGGGGGGGGAGGGTGTGGGGAGAAGGATGGGGTAAGGGAGAGAGGGGAGGAGGGAAGTGAAGGGGGGAGAAGGTGATAGAGCGAGAGTAGGCAGGATAAGAGAGGGGAGAGGGGGTGATGATGCCATTACACACCTGAGAGCGACGGCCACGAGGATGGATAGCACCTCCCCAGTGTGAGCACTGAGACTAATGGCTATGCTTGGGGAACCTTGGGATACACGCACCTGGGAGAGCACGGCCACGAGGAAGGATAGCACCTCCCCCAGGTGTGAATAGTGGTGTCCTCCCACCCCTGTTCATTCAGATCCACCCTCCTCACTCGCCCCGTAAAGCACGTGCATGCCTTGAGCTTATTATACATGCATCGGGATCTTTGGTCCTACCTACGATACGCACCTGGGAGCGGACGGCTACGAGGATAGATAGCACCTCCCCCGGGTGCGACTTAGTGGTGTCCTTCCACCCCTGTTCATTCGGATCCACCCTCCTCACTCGCCCCGTGAAGCAGGAAGGTAGCTTGTCCTCCCCGCTGCTCCTCGTGCCGCCGTCGCTGCTGATAATGCCGCCACTGCCGCCGCTGCTGCTGGCGGTGGTGGTGGTGCTGCTGCTGGTGCTGCCAATGATGCTGCTCCTGGTGATGCGCTCTGAACCGGCAACAGCAGAGGAGGCGACTGAGGAGGCAGAGGCAGTGGCGGAGAGGGAGGAGGGGTAGCCCGGGTAAGGGTAGAAGGCACAGTCGTCCGAGAGGAAGGCTTCAGAGTTGAAGGAGCGGCGGGCGAACGGGCGGTGCTGCAGCAGGTGCAGGTGGATGGGGTGTGAGTCGGCCGATGGGTTGATGATGTGCCACACCTCTACTGCTCCCTGCTTGCATGGGGGTGGGGAAGGTAAGCAGCAGGGAGAGGGGAGTTGTTAAGTGGAGGTGGATGGGGTGGGTGTCGGCTGAGGGGTTGATGATGTCCCACACCTCTACTGCTCCCTGCTTGCACGCACAGCACACAGAGAGGGGAGAGAAGTGAGGGTGTGGGAGAGGGAAGTGAGGGTGTGGGAGAGGGAAGTGAGGGTGTGGGAGAGGGAAGTGAGGGTGTGGGAGAGGGTAAGGGAAGCAGCAGGAGAGGGGTCTTCTTGTTGGATGCAAGTGGATGGGGTGTGTGTCGGCCTATGGGTTGATGGCGTGCCATACCTCCTTCAAGTGAGGACGGTGGGAGATGAGGGAATGGACAGAGCATGTAAAACCCGAGAGTCGCACAAGTAGGGTTAGGTTCAAACCTGCATCACTCACATTCGAGAGGATCTCAGTAGCAGGCTGAAAACACCCACTCCACTTGAGCTGGATGACAGTGGGCATGTCAGTTTCCGGGTCTAGGTCTAACGTCACTCCCCTCTCTCGCACCCCACCACCCCTGCAACACTCACATTCTTGAGAATCTCAGTGGCAGGATCGAAGAACCCCTTCCCGTCAAGCTGAATAACCATGGGCATGTCACTGTCCGGGTCTGCCCTCTTGCAGATCAGGCAACTCTCCAGTGATTCTCAGTACCAACCCTCTCCCCATGATAACTGATTCACTCACATTCTTGAGAATCTCAGTGGCAGGATCGAAGAACCCCTTCCCATCAAGCTGAATGACGGTCGGCATGTCACTGTCCGGGTCTACCCTCTCCCCCAGTATGTGCCAGCGCGATTTGGTCACCTGCTTGAAAGGCAAGGCCGCCAGGGGCTGGGGGGAGGGGAGGGGGGGAGAGGAGTAAAAGGGTGTGGAGAGGTGTAGAGGGGGTTAGAGGGGGTTAGAGGTGAGTAGGGCGGAGAGAGAACGATGGTGGTGGGCATGTCACTGTCCGGGTCTACCCTCTCTCCCAGCACGTGCCAGCGCGATTTGGTCACCTGGTTGAATGGCAAGGGCGCCAGGGGCTGGGGGGAGGATGGGGGGTGGGCGGTGGAGAGGAGTGGAAGGGAGTAGAGGGGGTGAGTAGAGTGGAGAGGGCATGACGGTGGGCATGTCCCTTCCCGAGTCTACCCTCTCTCCCCCAGCAAGTGCCAGCGGGTCTTCGAGACCCGTGGTTCAAGGGCAAGCGTCCCAGGGGCTGGAAGAGGAGGGGGGGTTGGGAGCAGGGGAAAGAGGGATTGAGGGACGGCAAGTCACACGGTGGGCATGTCTCTGCCCGGGTTTACCCATTCCCCTAGCATGTGCAGCGCATCCAGGAGACCTGGTTCAAGGGGACTCTTGGTAGCGCTGAGGGAAAAGAAGGGGGGAGAGGGGAACCGGGGGAGAGGGGGAGGGGGGCGGAGGAGCAGAGGCGGGAATTCCAGCAGCAATACCCTGGACACAAATGGCTAACATCACACACAACTCATGCTCCCTCTGCTCTTGTTTGTGAATGAATCGACACAACTCAAATATCACATGTTTTGAGTTGACTCAAAATACGACTAAAGTATCCCCCCCTCTGCCCATCCGTGCCCTCCCATGCCCACCCATGCCTTCCCATGCCCTCCCATGCCCACCCATGCCTTCCCATGCCCTCCCATGCCCTCCCATGCCTTCCCATGCCCTCCCATGCCCTCCCATGCCCTCCCATGCCCTCCCATGCCCTCCCATGCCTTCCCATGCCCTCCCATGCCCTCCCATGCCCTCCCATGCCCTCCCCAGCCGTCCCCCACCCTCTCCTCCCATACCCTGCCCCGCACAGCACAGCACACTCACAGCAATCATCTTGGGGAGGGGCGGGCCGGGATGGCCTTGCGCTTGGGGAGTTTTGAGTCAACGCAGCAAAGGTCACCCCTTACTGCCCCTCCATGCCCTCCCCTGCCCTTCCCGGCCCTTCCCTCCCCTCCCATGCCCTCCCCTGCTCGCACAGCGCACTCACAGCAATCATCTTGGGGAGGGGCGGGGCCGGGATGGCCTTGCGCTTGGTGAGAATGAATCGCATGATGACAGCTGTGCCGGGACTCACACGCTCGCCTGAAGAGGGGAGGGGGGATGGCGGGTTGAGCACAATTAGACATTGTACCCTTGAGGCGCCTTGCCTTGCACTGGGTGAGAATGAATTGCATGATGACAGCCGTGCTAGTGTCAGCTGACCAGCAGGGTAGGGCGAGCGTGCACGATTCGTGAGCAGCACGTCGCGGCGCCAGGAGGAGCCTCGTTGAAACCCACAGACTGCTGCAGGTCAAGCAAGCTTAGATGGCTGCTGCTGGCGTTAAGTAAGCCTGGAGTGGGCTGCTGCTGGTGTTATAAGCTTAGAGTGGGCTGCCGGTGCTGGTGTTAGACTGCACTCACCAGCAGGGTAGGGCGCGCGAGCATCATTCGTCAGCAGCACGTCACGGCACCAGGAGGGCGCCTCGTTGAAATCCACGAGCATATCAAGCCGCTCCCCCGGCGCCACCAGCACTTCCTTCATGCGGAGTGGGCGAGCGAGATAACCCCCGTCGCTGCCGATCTGCGGGTGAGGAGAGGAGTGGGGAGGAAGTGGGGTGAAGAAGGAGGCAGGGAGGAGAGAGGGGCCTCGTTGATATCCACGAGCGGGGTACCCGCCGTCGCTGCCGATCTGCATGTGTGGAGGGGATGGGGGTGAAAAAGGGGCGGGTTGAGCAGAGGCAAGGCATTGAGGACGTCATATCGCTCCCCCGGTGCCACCAGCACGTCCTTCATGTGCAGCGGACGAGCCAGGTAGCCGCTGTCACTGCCAATCTGGGAAAGGGGGAAGGTGAGAGGAGGGCAGGGAGGAGAGAGATGAGGGGAAGGCACTCTCTCCCAATGCTACCAGCACACGTGGCATGCGCAGTGGGTGAGGCAGGTAGGGGGGGTCAGAGTTGATCTGTAAGGGAAAGAGGGAAGAAGGGAAGGAGGTGAGAGGTGAGGGAAAGAGAGGGTGGAGGCACGCAGAGCGCCACACAGCACAGCAGAGCACAGCAGAGCACAGCAGAGCACAGCAGAGCAGAGCACAGCAGAGCACAGCAGAGCAGAGCACAGCAGAGCACAGCAGAGCACAGCAGAGCACAGCAGAGCAGAGCACAGCAGAGCACAGCAGAGCAGAGCACAGCAGAGCACAGCAGAGCACAGCAGAGCACAGCAGAGCACAGCAGAGCAGAGCACAGCACAGCAGAGCACAGCAGAGCACAGCAGAGCACAGCAGAGCACAGCAGAGCACAGCAGAGCAGAGCACAGCAGAGCACAGCACAGCACAGCAGAGCACAGCAGAGCACAGCAGAGCAGAGCAGAGCAGAGCAGAGCAGAGCACAGCACAGCAGAGCACAGCACAGCACAGCAGAGCACAGCAGAGCACAGCAGAGCAGAGCAGAGCAGAGCAGAGCACAGCACAGCACAGCAGAGCACAGCAGAGAAGAGCAGAGCAGAGCAGAGCAGAGCACAGCACAGCACAGCACAGCACAGCAGAGCACAGCACAGCACAGCACAGCACAGCAGAGCAGAGCAGAGCAGAGCAGAGCAGAGTTCGGACCCGAGTCGTGGGGATGATGGGCGCCCAAAACAGTGGTAATGAGGCGTGATAGTGGCCCCGCACAGCGCACCGGAAGCGCAGACGGAAGAAAGGCATGCTTTCTGAGAAGCATGCACCCAAGCAACCAGCACAGCACACCACCGCACCGCACCGCACCCACGTGGGTCATGGGGATGACGGGCCCCCTGAAGGGTGGCTTGAAGTCGTGATAGTTGCTCCTGACAGCGCACTGGAAGCTCAGATGGTAGAAGCGCGCATTGGACGCCCCCAGGATCGGCAGGCAGGCAAGCAGCACATCACGGTCCACCACAGCACCGCACACCACCACACAGCACCCCACGCACCTGAGTCATGGGGATGATGGGTCCCCTGAAAGGAGGCTTGAAGTCGTGATAGTCGCCCCTCACGGCGCACTGGAAGCGCAGATGGTAGAAGCGCGCGTTGGACGCTCCCAGGATCGGCAGCCGGTACAGCGCTCTCCGAACCCGGAAGTACGGCCAGACCTGCGTGAGGTGACGCATAGCAGTGATGGGCAGGCAGGCAGGCAGGCAGGCAGGCAGACAGTGCGTTGACAATTCTCAAAGGGACTCCAATATACTCCACATAAGCCTCACGCCGTTCCTTTTTACACCCCCGCTCACTCACTCCACCTCCTCATACATACTCCCCACTCCACACATCTCTCTCGCGTCGCCTTTCTCGCATCTCACATCATACAGCATACATACCTTCCCATTCACCGTGATCGTATCTCCGAAAAACTCCGGCTGCCAGTGCGGGTGCTCCTTTGGAACAACCCCATCGACCGGATAGTTCACCGACCCGTTCGGAAAGAACATCCGGTCCGCGATGGCCAGGGGCATGAAGAACGGCCCGCCAGGCAGCGGCGCCCACTTGTTGATCTCCTTCTCCTCGCCTTTGGGATCCATTATAACGTACAAGCCCGCCATTCCCGCCATGACGTTTATCCTCGTTATAGCAATGGCGTGGTCGTGGTACCACACGATAGAGGGGCGCTGGCTGTTGTGGTAGTGGTAGAGCCGGGTCGAGAAGGTAGGCCCTGCCTCCCCAAACTGGGTGAACCATGCCTGTGGGTGGCCGTCATATGTGCTGTGGGTCTCCCCCCCGTGTCGATGGGGAACTGAAACAAGGGAGGCAGAGGGAAAGGAAATTGGAAGGGAAAGGGAAGAACCTTTGGCATGGCATGGCATGGCATGGCATGGCATGGCATGGCATGGTGACCCATGGCATGGCACAGTGTAGAGTGAGCACATACCGATGGGCACGCCCCCTTTCTTGGGCATGGGGATCATGAGTGTGTCGTCCAGCTGAATCATGTGCTTCCTGTCCTTGATGTGGTTCGACCAGAAGATCTGAGAAGGGAAAGGGGTGGGGAAGGGGGGGAAGGTGGGGGAAGGGAGGAAGAAGGGTGGGGGGAAAGAGGGGAAAGAGGTTAGTGGAGGATAGGACTTTTTGAGGCGGTGTGTGGGGGAAGGTAGGTGAAGATTTTTTGAGACGTCTCCAGAGTCATGAGCGTGTCATCCAGCTGAAGCATGTGCGTCCTGTCCCTAATGTGGTTCGACCAAAAGTTCTTACCGTGAAGTCGGAAGGTTGTAGGAAAGGAGGGGAGGAGGGAGGGAGGAGGGGAACGAGGTAATATGGGGGGACGTGAACTTTCTAATCCAGGCGACCTGGCGCGACGGCAGCAACGGCCGCTTGCAGAATCCCTTTGCACCGAACCTCACCTAGTCGTTAAGCCAGGGCGCAGAGGTGCTGTGGAAGGTCCACCTGGATGAATCTCTCTTTCTGATTCCCTTAGTTTCCAGTCCAGCCGATTCAAAAAGGCCCTTTCTGCTTAATTTCACGCATTCGTTCACACTGCCAGGCTGCAGTTGTGCTGGTGAGTGGTTCATTAAAGTGTCTTTCCCTTTCTTTCTGAGTGTACATTTAAGTCAATTCGTTGTTGTAATGACCACGCAAATGACCCACCTGAGTGTCTTTGCCCCTTCTGCGCCAGGATGGTGGGGCCGGGGAATGCAGCGGTTCGCTGGTTGACCTTTGAACCAACTCAAAAGCCACCTCAGCACGGCACAGCACAATCAGGCTTCAGGCCTCCCACCTGAGTGACCTTGCCCTTCTGCGCCGGGATGGTGGGGCCGGGGAGGGGAACGCGGCGGTGTGCACGTTGACCTCTGAACATACCCAGAAGTCACCTCACCTCACCTCACCTCACCTCACCTCACCTCACCTCACCTCACCTCACCTCACCTCACCTCACCTCACATCAACTCACCTCACCTCACCTCACCTCACCTCACCTCAACACAGCAGCACCATCAGGCTCCAGGCCCTCACCTGAGTGTCTTTGCCCTTCTGCGCCAGGATGGTGGGGCCGGGGAACGCAGCAGTGCGCTGGTTCAGCCCGTACGCGTACTGCTTGGTGGGCGGCAGGTCCCGATGGAACTTCTGTGAAAGGGGGAGGGGACGGGGGATGAGGGATGGGGGCGGAGGGATGGAGTTAGGGAAGTGTGGTGCGTTGGTTGGATCAGCCCGTACGCGTACTGCTTCGTGGGCGGCAGGTCCCGATGGAACTTATGTTAGGGGGGAAAGGAACGGGGGATGAGGGCGGAGTTAGGGAGTTAGAGAATGGCACAGCGCTGGATCAGCCCGTATGCGTACTGCTTCGTGGGCGGCAGGTCCCGATGAAACTTCTGTTAGGGTTGGGAAACGAACGGGGGGTGAGGGATGGAGTCAGGGAAGAGTGATGCGCATGCTGAGCCCATACTGCTTCGTTGGCGTTACATTGAGAATTCTCAAAAGTAAGTTTTGAGGCGTCTAGTTTTGAGGCGCCTCACAACGAAACCAATATGGATGGCGGACGAGGGGATGGAGTCAGGGAAGAGTGATGCGCATGTTGAGCCCATACTGCCTCGTTGGCAGCACGTCCCGATGGAACAATGAGAGGATGGGAAACGGAGGGGGAAGGGAAAGGGGGCTAAGGCCCGGAGGAAGTTAGAGAAGCGCGGTTGAAAGGGATCCCGGTGGGGTTGGGGGAGGGAAAAGGAGGGGTTGGGGTTGGGGGGCGGGGGAGGCGGAGTGGGGGGAAAGGGGGAGAGTCGAAGGTTCTGGGGGGGTTTGGGGGTTGGGAAATGTAAGAGTCATGAACTCATTCAGCTTGTGCGCTGGCTGTGACAGAACTTTGGTGAGAGGTAGAGGAGGGAAGAGAAGTAAAAAGAGCATTGGCATGAGGAAAATGGTGGTGTTCAATACTGGCAATTAACATAAACATAGCAACTCCAAATCCATCTAAAAAGCAGCTTCGTGTAAAGAAGAATTCATAAAGTGAGTCAGTAGTGCTCATTGCGCGCGGTTACAAAGTAAAATCGCCATTTGATCGCAGCCGTCCAACACAAACTGGTTGGATTACCATCCGTATATTCCCGTCGCAAAACTATACGCAGCTTTAAGTCCGTCACAACACAACACAAACGAAACCAGGCTGAAAGGGTGGGTGGGTACCATCACATCTCGTGCAGCAGGCAGGACGTGCAAGGGAGACGCTTTGTTGGGTCAACTCAGAATATAGGTCGTTAAACCTCTAGGGTTTACGCGGCATCGCACTTCGTTTCGCGTTCCTAGGCGGGAACGGCGGAGCGTAATCCGCCGAGGCCGCTTGAGCCGACGCCGGAGGTCCTCCGCAATCCATCTCACATCGGAAGTGATCGCTTTTTTTGTGGTACTAATCGTAGATGCTCCAGCCGCGTAGCGAGAGCTGGAGGACTAGCGAGCCGTATGAAGTAAATTTGGAAATCAGAGTTGCACTGGTAGATCTGAAAGTCCGAATCGCGCATGTCTGCTAAAACTGAAGAGCCGAGTCGCAGTAGGTATTGAAACCGAGTCACGCCTGGTAGATCTGGAAACTTGAATCGCGCCGCCTATTATATTCGAAATACGGTGTCGCGTCTTATATATCCGAAGAACCGAGTCGCGATTGGTCAGGAAGACCGAGTTGCACCTGGTAGAGCTGGAAAGGCGAGTCGCGTCTGGTAGATTGCAGTCCTACTTGGTGGGCCAACGAGTCGCATCTGGTAAATCTGGTAAACGCCGATGCGAACGAGCTTCCCGTCGCTCGTGTCGACGGCGACTCGCATGGTGGTCGCCAGGTCGTCGACGAACTTGCAGAGCGCGCGCGCGGGAAAGGCGTTGCGGCACTTGGGGCCCGCCGCCGGCGTCCCCATCGGTCCCACGTTCCTGCCAGCAATAGCCACGGCTGCGGGGGCATACGTGCGCCATGAAGAGGGTTGGGGCGAGCGGCGGGGCGGGGTTGGTCACCACCACAGTGCGCGCGGAATGGAGGGAGAAGGGGGGATGGGGGAGGAGTAAGAGGGAACAATAAGTACGCTATTTAGGAAGAACCATCACAGCTGGTGCGGACGGCGGTCCCGCGCTTCTGCCTGCAGCAGCGGCAGGGGGACAGTGCGGGGGTTGGAGCGCGCGGGCGGACGGGTAGGTGGTCAGCGGGTCAGCGGGTAGTATATGGGGACGACCCCGACGGGGAGTGAGGGAAAAAAAGGGGGAGGGGTATATGGAAAGCGGTGTTACAGGGACACGGCTCGTTACGCAGGGTCCAGCTGATGAAACGGATGATCATTGCTGAATATATTTGTCGCACATGTGTCGAACCGCAATACGCGCCATGAGGTAGAGCTTTACCAGAGACATGGACGACCGCGCGCGGGGCGAAGGCGGCGACAAGAAGCAATACCACACAGAGACGTACGGCCATCGCCATGCTCCGAGACATTGCCGCTTCAAAGCGCAAATTTCGGCGAGCGCTTGCGGAATGAGCGCGCCGTGTGTGGCGGCGGGGTGTCGGGCTCCCCCCCGCGACTCGCTGGAAAGGGGAATGTTCCTACAGCCTCCAGGAATATCTGCGGCGGTAGTACAATGCGTCCACCGGAGGGATGCGACAATGCAGCGAGTCGTAGCGAGCCGCGACGCGCGCAATCGGCGGAATGCGACAATGCAGCGAGTCCTATCGAGCCGCGACGCGCGCAATCGGCAGAATGGATTAGAGCGAGCACCCGACGCTTACGCCGACGCGAATGATGTCGGATACGAGCGACCTTTTGCTATCAGGTCCGCTGATAGTAGTTGGGGGTAAGACCGTCTGACGACGAAGTATGACGGCTTCGCTGAAAGAAGAGTGACGGAGATGAACAATAACCCAGCAAACCCTACAAGGTCTAGAGAAGCATATGCTGTGTGCGCAAGGATCTATGGAGCGAGTTACGTGTACTAGGGAGGAGAGGCGTCAACGGCAGTGGTTTGCCAAAAGCTCACGTAGAAGTACGGGATGGAAACAAGGTTTCGAGTGAGACTCGTGTTGAGAGAGGGGCGCTGAGGCAACTCATTTCACACGAAATGGGCTGGCGCGATTTGGCCGAAGGGCGGCCGTGACAAGGCAGAACGATCACTTGGCTGTCGTGTCGAGAGACTCCACATTCCAAAACGATTGGTCAAAGTTTCTTTGCGGCGTCGTGTCGAAGCCAGGATGGAGCTGTCGCTCCCTGCGGACGGTTGTGATTGAGAGAAAACTGCACAGAACATGACATCCGACAACTACGTAAAACTCCAGGGTGACGGGGGAGTAAAGGAAGGTTTTGGCTTATCACGCACGGCTGGTGCAGTGAGGGAATTGGGACATCGGGAGACGTTTTTACGGCTAACCTGGACCTTCTTGCCCGTGAGCTTGGTTTTAAAAACTGCACCCCTTTTACATAAGTGAGCTTGAATCACAGAATCTGTTTTAGTTTGTACAAACTCAAGTAAGGAAACCGCATACACCGCCAACTTTCGGGCCATAAGGTATTTGTAGATAGAAATTGATACTTGGAAGACGTGGAAGTCAAGGACAAAAAGGCGACAAAAATCGGTTGCTGTCAGAGTTTCAAGCACTGAAAGCATAGCTGGTGGGGGGATGCACCAACAGGGGCTGCATTTGACAGTTGGGTTGGTAGGGAGGGATGGAATTGTATGCTCCATGTGGTAGTGAGCGGTACGAGAAGGTGAACAACACACTATGGAGCTGAATTTCTTCGCAGATTTTGGAATTTCTCCAAAATGGTCGTCTTGTCGTGTCGTGTCTGGTAGTCGTGTCGTCGCCTCGCCACGCCACTTCATCCTTCAAGACCAAACGCGAACCGCGAAGTGCGTCTGTGAGCCGCGCAAGCTACCCAATCACGCAAGCTGAACCAATTGGGTAGTTGAAGGCGTGTGAGCGACATGAATTCTGTCGCCTGGAAGGAATGTGCTTCGCATGTTGCCACGTGTAAACCACCCGACTATTTAACGATTAATCTGCATCCAGCTCATCTCTAGGCGACGAAACTCCTTGCAACATGTTGATGGCGAGCGGCTGGCGCCGCCAGCGGCGCGAGGAAGGGGGGCTCAGCTCAGCCGCCTCTAGGTATAGCAGCAGGAATAAGGGCGCGTTCTTAGCCTGTGTCAAGGTTCCTGACACAAGGTTATCGACGGCTCCGATCGTTCCACGGCATCATCAATCGAATCCAAACCCTTACAGCTTCATGTCAACTTGCCTGACATGGGCTAAGAACGAGCCCTAAGCAGCACTGGGCATTTGTATTTTGTTTCTCCTGCCCGCCCTCCTCACAAGCATTTATGTAGCGCTGTACAGTACACCCAACAGATATTGCATACTGATTCTTGATTCCTGACTGGACCTGCAGCATTCACTCGCAACCGAAATGCGGCCCACGTGTGCCATCGTCAGCAACGCCACGCCACAGTGCCTCGCAATTGACTTCGAAGGTTTGGATATGTGTTATCAAAACACGGAAATGTACTGTGAAAGCATGAATTGCTGAATTTTACTTGCTTATGCACCAAACATCCCTCATGAGTGCAACTAAGGGCGTGTTCCTACGGCCCCTTAACAGGCCAACCTCTTATCAAGCTCCCTACTTTTACCACTGAAAATTCCCTAAACCCAAAAACTCTCGCTACTTTTACCAGGCAAGGCTGACAAGAGGTTTGCCTGATAAGAGCGTAGGAACTTCCCTAAATCTTGTCTTGGTACCGTATATGCCTCCATCATAAATTTTACATTTCTTTACGTCGCACCAGTTTTACAGCGAACGACGAGCAAGTGATTATGGCTTGCATCCTCCTATACAAGATCCAGAACCCCCTTCAATCAATCAGCTACTGCAAGTACGGAACCATAGCTTCATTGAGACACTCTATTGACACATGCTAAGGTGTTCTGTTCTGCATTGGGATTGAGAAATGGAGTTGCACTAGTAACAGGCAAGTAGAGAAAAAAGGTATATGAATTCAGGGGTACCGGTAAAAATACAGTTGCTTCAAGTTGTCGGTACCACCACCATCCAACCCAACACTGGATTTTTGCCAGCAGCGTGCTCGACCAAGTCACGGTCTGAGACACAATGGGAGACTGGGTGTTGTTGCTGGCCCTGTAAGTCTGCACTGCACTGCACTGCTCTGCACCGCTTGCTACTCCACAGGTGTTGCCGATACAGATGCTATGGTTTCGCCAAAGCCGACGCCAGCCGAGCCAGACCCAAGCTCCCCGAGCCTCCCGCTGCGGCTCGGCGGCGGTAGAGCCGAAGTGCGACAGCGCTGGCAACCAGCGGGCAGGCAACAGCAAGGGCGAGATAGGCCAGGTGCCACCTGGGGGAGGCTGCACCTGCCCACCCGGGGGAGGCTGCAGCTGCAAAGAGGTCGGTGGAGGGTGCATGCGAGGGGGAGGCGGGGGGGTGGTGGGGCAGGTGCAGTTGGTGGTGTGGGAGGTGCGTTGGGTGCTCCTGGTTGGAGGTGTGCTGGTGGGTGGCTGTTGCTGGATCGGCGTCCTCAGACTGTGTGGGGTGGGGGGGAAGTGCCAGAGAGAAAGGATAAAAGGCCCTGGTGGATTCAATAATAGGATACATGAAATAGGTGTGCGATGCATTTGTGACGAATGGGCTAAGGGAGATGCATACACACGTGAACAAGAGGGCTTGGAGAGGCATGCTGTAAGAAATGCATGCTTGAAGAGGCATGTTGCAAGAAATGGACATGAATTTGCCATGGGAGGGAGATGGGGATGAGGAAGTGACGAAGGGATGGAAAGAGCTAGCAAGCGACTGCCGTTGATCATACCTTGTGCTGACGCATGGGCACCGTGGATCGCCGAGCGGAGAGGGGCGATTGAAGAGCTGCGAGGGAGGACGTCGGGGAACAGAAGGAAAAGGGGATGAAGCGGTGAATTTCATACAGAGCGTGTTTGAGCATATTATGAGGTGCCTGTGTAGCTCAAAAGTGATTTTTTCTAAGACATCCTAGAACTAGACTAGAGGGGATGAAGAGCTGAAGAATATGAGGAGCGTATGCTTGGGGTGCCTGTGTAGCTTAGAAAAATGATGTGCGGAGTGGGATGAAGTGGAATTTTTTTGAGAGAAGAATGTTAGGGAGCATTTTGAGAGGGGCATGCTAAGGAGTAGGTTCTTCTGAGGTGGTGTCTGTGTGTTCTGGGATGGTGTTGTGTTCGACTGACTTGGTGGAATCAACATAAGGGAGACACGCACTAGCTTTTTTTTGAAATACACAAAAGGCCAGACGTAGAAAACTGTTATGGATTGGAGAGGGAACAACGAGCGAGCAAGGGAAGGGAAGGGGTGTGGGGAGAGGGAGGGAAAAAGAGGGAGAGCAAGTGGGATAAGGAGGGCGAGGGAGAGTGAGAGGAAGGAGGGCGAAAGGACGTAAGGCGACTCACCAGGTGGTGATGATTCGAGGCACCGCTGAATCTGCCACACACCATGCGAAAAGCCGTGGGGGGTGGGTGGGTGGTGAGAGGAAGTGAGAGAGGTGAGGCGGAGAGATTGGGTGCAGGAGATGCAAAAAGTATGAAGGTTTGAAATTAGACAGGATTCAACGAAGCATGAAACCAACCTGTCACACTCCCCTCCCACCATACCTTGCTCATCCCAACCACCCCTTCCCCCATCCCGCCATACCTTGCTCATACGCTCCTGGACCACCACAGCTGACCATACCCATGTCCACCATACCCATACCCATGTCCACCATACCCATACCCATGTCCACCATACCCATACCCATGTCCACCATACCCATACCCATGTCCACCATACCCATACCCATGTCCACCATACCCATACCCATGTCCACCATACCCATACCCATGTCCACCATACCCATACCCATGTCCACCATACCCATACTCATACCCATACCCATACCCATACCCATACCCATACCCATACCCATACCCATACCCATACCCATACCCATACCCATACCCATACCCATACCCATACCCATACCCATACCCATACCCATACCCATACCCATACCCATACCCATGTACCTTGCCCATCTCGCTCACCCCTCCCACACCACCCATACCTTGCTCAGTCACACACACATCCTTCCACCATCCCGCCGTACCTTGCTCATGAGTTCGCGCACCACCACTGCTGCCACTCTCAGCTGCTCCTCACTCTCAAACCGAAGCTGCACCACCGCTGGCACCCCTGCTCCTGCTCTTCCTGTTGCCTCCCCTGTTCCCCCTGCTCCTCCTGCTCCTCCCTCTCCCCCCACTCCTCGCCTTTCCGCCCGTCCTCTCCCACTAAAAACCTCCCCATTTACGATAGTAGACCCGGTTTTCCCTGTCCCAGATACCACCTCCCCCAGGTCGTCCTCCCCACACATGGCGCCTGCAGGCCCCATCTCCCACTCGTCCTCGCCGCCCCCCTCTCCCACTGCACTCCCCACCTCCCCCTCCTTCCCCTCATCCTCGTCAATAACAGACTCTCTACCGTCTATAGTCCCTGCCAGCACTGACATGCTTACAGTGCACATCCCCTCCTCCTCATCCTCCTCCTCCTCCTCTTCCTCTCTTTCTCCCTCCCCCTCTCCCACCTCTCCCCTCCCCCTTTCGTCTTTCCCCACTAGACCACCACCAGACGATCCCACCCACTGAACCTTCCCCCGTCCTTCCCCCCTCTCTGCTTCTCTTCCCCCACCTCCGCCCCTCTCCCCTCCAGCAGCCCTCCCTGTTCCTTCCACACACACACTCTCTCCTGCAACCCTCCCTTCCATCCTTCCATTACAAACAGAACCATTAGTTGCAGCGGCAGCTGCAGCCGCAGCAACAGCAGCGGCATTAGTATTAGCACCACTCTCAACCTTTCCACGCTCCTCTGCCTCCTCCCCTTCGATGCTAAACACCCCAATCGGCCCGCCACGCTTCCCGCCCCTGCCCGTCAGGCTCGGCGCGCCGAGCCTCCCCTCCCGAGCCTCCTCCTCCGAGATGTTCCCAAGGGAGGAAGGGGTTCGGCGGCGGCCCAGGGAGGTTTGGGAGGGGGAGAGAGGCGAGGAGGAGGAGGGGGGGGGAGGGAGGGTGCCTAGAGCAGCGACAGAGCGGAAGGAGGGCGTGGAGGTGAGGAAGGGGGTGGGTTCCATGAAGTGAGGGTGGGGATGAGGGGGGGGGTTGGTTGTTGTTGAGGGAACAGGAGGGGCCTGTGGTGGCAAAACAAGGGTGGCGGGGAGAGGGCACAGATCGGAAAGAATGAGAAGGAGAAAACAGCAAGGGTTCTGATATGGGGGGATGGTTTTGAGTCGATTAGAAGAAGTATGGGGGCGAGGGGGAGGGGAGGGGTCTATGATATGGGAATGGGGGTGAGGGGGAGGGGAGGGGTCTATCATATGGGAATGGGGGTGAGGGGGAGGGGAGGGGTCTATGATATGGGAATGGGGGTGAGGGGGAGGGGAGGGGTCTATCATATGGGGATGGGGGTGAGGTGGAGGGCAATTGGTGCTGAGACGGCAGGGGCGGTTAGTGGAGGGGTGGCCCGGATGGGTTCACAAATAAGTGGGGTGATGAGCGGTGGAATGGAGTGTGAATGATGTGAGGCATGCTCCAAGTGCATCACTCACATGGCCCACTGTCTCTCCTGCCTTTCGTGCATCCACCACAGCTTGTAGGAAATCTATAGAAACTTGCACCCACCTGGGGGTGAGTGGAGCGGGGAATGGAGGGCAAGGGGAAGGAGGGTGACAGGGGGAGGGATGGCAACAACACGAGGAAGAAGAGATGGGGCTCTTGCGTGTGTGAACTCCATATCATCGCCTGTCATGCATGTATCCTCCACAGCTTGTAGGACGTCTATTGATACCTGCACCCACCTGGGAGGGAGTGAAATGAGGGCGACAAGGGGAGGAAAGGCAAAAAGGGGAGGAAGGAGAGGGGAGGGTCTTATGTGTGTGAGCCCCATGTCACCGCTTGCCTTGCGTGCATCCACCACGGTTTGTGGGAAGTCTATTGACAGCTGCACCCACCTGGGGGTGTGAGGAGATGGTGGGAGGGAGGGCAAAAGGGGAGGGATTACACACTATGTGCTGCTGCCAAGAGCACAGCACCATATATCTCTTTCCTACCCTCTCTCCCCTCACACACACTCACAACATACATGCACACACGCACCATATGCTGCTGGCAGTGAGGCCCTGCAGGTACGCCAGATGGAATAGAATTGAAGCATTCTAACAACGCACCCACCACACCCCCACCTCCCCCCACACCCCACACCCCCCTTACGCACACCCTCCACACACCCACCATATGCTGGAGGTAGTGAGCCCCTACAGGGACGCCAGATGCCCCCCGTGGTGTTACACTGCCAGCACCCAATCGCACACATACCTTCCCCACATGCACACCATGCACACCAGCACACCACCCACCATATGCTGCTGGCAGGGAGGCCCTGCAGGTACGCTAGATGACCCCCGTGGTGTGACACTGCCAACACCCGACCACACAGACCCATCCCCCACATGCACAGCACGCCATGCACACCAGAACGACACCCACCATATACTGCTGGCAGTGAGCCCCTGCAGGTACGCCAGATGCCCCCCGTGGTGTGACACTGCCAGCACCACGTTCGGGTTGGCTCTGAGGAGGGGGGAGGGTGGGGGAAGTGAAGGGCGGGGAGAGAGAGGAGTGGAGGGAAAGTAATGGAAGCAGCAATGAATAAGGAGAAAGTGGGGATGCGGTAAGACAGAGGGTACGCCAGATTCCCCCCGTGGTGTGACACTGCCAGCACCACGTTTGGGTTGGCTCTGAGGGAGAGGAGAGGAGGGGAGGGATAGGAACAGAAGAAGGAAGGAATAAAGAGAGTGTGAGGCAAGGCACAGTAGAAGCTATTCTGAAACGCAGTTCTAGGAAGGAGCGGTGTGGTGTGGTGTGTATCAATCAAAGTATGAGGGTATTTCCGCGCATCGACTACTTTCCCTTGCATTAACAGAAAACGACCCTTCTCGTCCCCCCTCACACTGCTTTCCCTCCACCCTTCATCGCCTCCCACTCACTTGGCCTCATCTCATTGAATAGCCACGCATTTGAAAAAGCCTCAAAAGTGATACTTCTTGAGTCGACTTACAAGGAAACGTCACTCCCACTCACTTGGCCTCGTCCCAGGGAATGGCCTCTTTGGTGCAAATCGGATCGTCCAGAGCGCTCACAGCCAGCAGCGGCACCGCCACCTCGGGTCAAACTTGAGTCAAAAGTACCCTCACCACCTTCTGTTCACACTAACATTCACACTCACTTGGCCTCGTCCCAAAGAATGATCTCCCTGGTGCAGATGGGGTCGTCCAGAGCGCTCACAGCCAGCAGCGGCACCGCCACCTCGGGTCAAACTTGAGTCAAAAGTACCCTCACCACCTTCTGTTCACATTAACATTCACACTCACTTGGCCTCGTCCCAAAGAATGATCTCCCTGGTGCAGATGGGGTCGTCCAGAGCGCTCACAGCCAGCAGCGGCACCGCCACCTCGGGTCAAACTTGAGTCAAAAGTACCCTCACCACCTTCTGTTCACACTAACATTCACACTCACTTGGCCTCGTCCCAAAGAATGATCTCCCTGGTGCAGATGGGGTCGTCCAGAGCGCTCACAGCCAGCAGCGGCACCGCCACCTCGGGTCAAACTTGAGTCAAAAGTACCCTCACCACCTTCTGTTCACACTAACATTCACACTCACTTGGCCTCGTCCCAAAGAATGATCTCCCTGGTGCAGATGGGGTCGTCCAGAGCGCTCACAGCCAGCAGCAGCACCGCCAGCTCAGGGAGAGTGTTGAGTCGACTCAAAAGTGATACTTCTTGAGTTGATTCAACAAGTGATACAAGCACTCACTTGGCCTCGTCCCAGGGAATGGCCTCCCGGGTGCAGATGGGGTCGTCCAGTGCGCTCACAGCCAGCAGCGGCACCGCCACCTCGGGTCAAACTTGAGTCAAAAGTACCCTCACCACCTTCTGTTCACACTAACATTCACACTCACTTGGCCTCGTCCCAAAGAATGATCTCCCTGGTGCAGATGGGGTCGTCCAGAGCGCTCACAGCCAGCAGCGGCACCGCCACCTCGGGTCAAACTTGAGTCAAAAGTACCCTCACCACCTTCTGTTCACACTAACATTCACACTCACTTGGCCTCGTCCCAAAGAATGATCTCCCTGGTGCAGATGGGGTCGTCCAGAGCGCTCACAGCCAGCAGCAGCACCGCCAGCTCAGGGAGAGTGTTGAGTCGACTCAAAAGTGATACTTCTTGAGTTGATTCAACAAGTGATACAAGCACTCACTTGGCCTCGTCCCAGGGAATGGCCTCCCGGGTGCAGATGGGGTCGTCCAGTGCGCTCACTGCCAGCAGCGGCACCGCCACCTCGGGCAGGAACTGGGCAGAGCCGCAGCGACGGTAGTACGTGTCAACAGTCTGATGTAAGGGCAATGAGAGGAAAGAAGAAGGGGGTGGAAGAGGGTGGACGGGAGAAAAGGCAAACAGAGCGGCTAAGTAGGTCATGTGCTTACGAATAAAAGTAGAGGAGAGGAGGGAGGGGTGGTTGGAAAGGGGATGTGGACAGGGAGGAAGAACGAGCGAGGGGGCAGGGAAAAAGGGTAAGCGGGGGAGCACAGGCCAGGCAGCCAAAGAAGAGGAAATAGGGGAACACAGGCAAGGCAAAGGCGGCAGAGGAAGTAAGAAGAAGGTACCTACCTCATAGTTGCTGACAATGCGTGTGATGCGATCGTCAAACTGGCGGATGGTGCGTGCCTGAGCGGGCAGAGATACACAACACACACAGTTAAAGCGGGGGGAAATGAATGGTCTGAAAACGAAGCTAAGGACTAGAGGAATGGGAGCAGTAGGGTGAAACAATCCCACAATCCCACATGCCACCGAGCGCATGCCACTCACCTTCATGACGTGCTGCACGTCCACGAGGTGCTGAAAGCTGTCCTTGTGACTGTGAGGGGGGGAGGAGGAGAGGAGGGACGAGGAGAGGAGCAAGAGAGGGTGTAAAGAGGACCTTAAGACGTGCTGCACGTCCACGAGGTGCTGAAAGCTGTCCTTGTGACTGTGAGGGGGAGGGGGGAGATGAGAGGAGAGGAGGTGGACACACCGCACATGCATGCATGTGTTGCCCTGCTCATGCTCATGCATGCACCGCATGACGTGTGGGACGTCCACGAGGTGCTGAAAGCTGTCCTTGTGGCTGCGAGGGGGGCCGGAGAAGAGATGGGGGAGGCGAGAATAGGGGGGCCGAGGAGACAAGAGGAGAGGGGAAAGAGAGGGTGTAACGAGTACCTTCATGGACGTGTTGGACGCCCGATGAGGTGCTGCAAGCTGCCCTTGTGGCTGTGATGGGGGAGGAGAGGAGGCGAGGAGAGGGGAGGCAAGGAGTGGAGGGACGAGAAGACGAAGAGAGGGGCAAGAGAGGGTGTAAAGAGGACCTTCATGGACGTGTTGGACGCCCACGAGGTGCTGAAAGCTGTCCTTGTGGCTGTGAGGTGGGGAGAGGAGGAGACGAGTGCAGAGGAGAGAGGAGGCGGAAGAGAGGGGTTTTGAGTCGACTCAGAAGTCACCTTTGTGACGTGCTGGACGTCCACGAAGTGATGTGAGGAAAGGGAGGAGAAGAGGGGAGAGGAGTGGAGGGGAGTGGAGAGGAGTGGAGGGGAGTGGAGAGGAGTGGAGGGGAGTGCAGAGGAGTGCAGAGAAGTGGAGAGGAGTGGAGAGAAGAGGAGACGAGGGGATAGGGGAGAGGAGGAGTTAGAAGAGAGGTGGATGGGCGATGGAAAACTGATCGCAATCGAGACATCAAAATGGGAGAGGGCGAGAAAGGGTGCAATTGAAACAAAAGGGGAAGCAATTCAAGTGAGAAGAGAGAAGGAAAAGGACACAGCGCGGCTGGAGAGCAGGGTCAGGTAATGAGGTACGATTCAGGCGCATTTATTCGAAACTCGTCCCGAAACTCGAAACTCCTGAGGCGCATCAAAACTCATAACATCCATGGCACCCCTGGCCATGGTGGCGCTGTAGATGCGATCCCACTGCATCTACGTCCCACTGCCTCAGGCCACGCAATGCCACCATGTCACACCACGCCTTGCCATCCCATGTCACACCACGCCTTGCCATCCCATGTCACACCACGCCTTGCCATCCCATGTCACACCACGCCTTGCCATCCCATGTCACACCACGCCTTGCCATCCCATGTCACACCACGCCTTGCCATCCCATGTCATACCATGCCATGCGATCCCATGTCATACCATGCCATCCATGCCATCCCATCACCACACACGGATCTCATCTCACAGCTTGGCGAAGTCTCGAAGCCCCGTGACCATGGCCGTGTTGTACACGCGCTCTCATGGAGTCACATCCCATCCCATGGCATCCCATCCCGTACCATAGCACACAGCCCGCATCTTACAGCTTGGCGAAGTCTCGAAGCCCTGTGACCATGGCTGTGTTGTAAACGCGCTGCCTCGTGCGCCGATTCATCCATCGATCACAAATCTGCGTGCAGGGGGAAGGGGAAAAAGGGAAGGGTGGGGGGAGAATAGCGGGGGAGAGGGGGAGAGAGGGTGGGTTGGCATGGTTCATCCACCGGTCATGAATTTGAGAGCACGGGGCGCAGGGGACAACGGAGTGCTGGGAAAAGGAAGAGGGGGTTCTTGAGGCGCCTAAAAAATCGAGCACTTGAGAGAAGAGGGCACAAGGGGCAACGGAGTGGGGGAGAAAGGGAAGTGGAGGAAGAGGGGGAGTGGCGGGAAAAGGGGACGTGGGGGGGAAGCGAAAGTGAGGGGGGAGGGAATGGGGAGGAGTGGAATGCGAAACATGAGAGAAACATGAGAGAAAACCAGCATGGCACACAGCGGTACAGGGAGAGCCCACACGTATTACGTACCAGCAGGTCCCAGGGATTGCCGATTTTTTTTGTTTAGGTTGATTTTGAAGAATTCTCAAAACCACCATGGCACACAGCGGCGCGGCACAAGGCGAGCCCATACGTATTACGAGGCGTACCAGCAGGTCCCAGGGATTGCCGATGCTGACAGCAGCTTGAATGGGCCCCGACGCACCCTCCTCCCCGAGATACTTCACCTGCAGTAGATGGGGAGGGAGCGGGGACAGACGGGCAGGAGGGAGGAGGGGCGAGGGACAGGAAGGAGGGGAGGAGGGGGACATGAAGGAAGGGGGGAGCGGGACAGGAAGGAGGGGAGGAGCGGGAGAGGAAGGAGAAGGGGAAAGGGAGAGAAGGGAGGAGAGCACAGATGGAGACAGCAGCTTGGATGGGCCCCGAGGCACCCTCCTCCCCTCCTGAGAGGAAGGGAGGGAGTAGGGGGCAGGCGGGAAGGGGGGTGGGACAGGAGGGCGGGCGGGCGTCAGAGGGGCAGGAGGGGATGAGGAGGAGATAAGGGTAAAACATAACACAAATCTTTCCGACAACACCAAACCACAAAGCCTTTCCACAATGCATCACTGCGATTCTAATCCACTCAGAATGGAGATGCCTCACCAGGATGTTCGCCCCCAGGGACGTGCCAATCGCGTAGAGGGGCGCGTGGGGGTAATCTTGTTGCACCAGGCTGATGACAAACCGCAGGTCCGTGGTCCAGCCCGCATTGTAGAACCGGTTTGACTGGGGGGCGGGGAGGGGAGAGGGGAAACACGGGGGAGGGGACGGGAACACAAGAGGGTAAATACGGAGAGATAAGGAGGGAAAACGGGTGGAGCGCACAGTGATGGTGACTCAGCTCACAGTGATGGTGACTCAGCTCACAGTGATGGTGACTCAGCTCACAGTGATGGTGACTCAGCTCACAGTGATGGTGACTCAGCTCACAGTGATGGTGACTCAGCTCACAGTGATGGTGACTCAGCTCACAGTGATGGTGACTCAGCTCACAGTGATGGTGACTCAGCTCACAGTGATGGTGACTCAGCTCACAGTGATGGTGACTCAACTCACAGTGATGGTGACTCAGCTCACAGTGATGGTGACTCAGCTCACAGTGATGGTGACTCAACTCACAGTGATGGTGACTCAGCTCACAGTGATGGTGACTCAACTCACAGTGATGGTGACTCAACTCACAGTGATGGTGACTCAGATGGCGCTCACAGCCTTGTCCCAACGACAAGAGCCCCCAAAATGCACCATTTTGTTCCCGCGCATGGCAAAATTTTCGGCAGACCACAGATTTTTGAAAGAGAAAATCGGCACCAATCATGTGCATGTAACCCAGCTTCCTCTCAATCGTTTAGACCATTCAACCGCGTGAGGTCGATCGCACGTTGTCCACCCCCCTGGCATTCAAGCGACGTCCAAAATGTTCATGTGACTCGTCTTGAGCGTTGTCCACAGTTTTGAGAATGTCCACAGTTTTGAATATTCCCAGATGTCCACTCTGGCATCCAAGCGACGTCCACATTCATCCTCATTTACGTGGCAGCCCTGAACACGTGTTCTGTGCACTGCTGCTGGGGAGCTTTGATTGCTGGGACAAGGCTGCGAACGCCATCTCAGCTCACAGTGATGGTGACGCCCCCCAGGCCTCGATGATTAGGCACCAGTGCTCTCCACCCGTGCCGTGTGACGCCCGCCACACACTGCCGCATGTACTGTGCAGGGGGGGGGATGGCAGGGGAGGGGAGGGGAGGGAATATGTGAGCATGAGGTGCCACAGGGCGTCATTTCTGGCCACCTGTGCCGTGAGACGCCCGCCACACACTGCCGCATGTACTGTGCAGGGGATGGGAGGGGAGTGCAGGGGAGGAGAGGTGTGCAGGGGAGCGCAGAGGGTGGTGGGTGTGCAGGAAAAGGTGGTAGTGACAGGTGCTGGCTTGTAAGCCCTGGCATCACAAATGCATATCATCATCCCAACCCCACCCTACCCCACCCCACCCCACTTCACTCAACTCCAGTCCAACCCACCCAGCCCACCCCGCACCTTGTCACTGGACTGACTGGTAAGCCCCGGCACCACAACGAAAATGGGCACCTGCGACGTCCGCTCCGCCCTCCCTCTCGCCACCTTCGCCTCTCCGCCTTTCCCACCGCCCCTGCACCCTTCGCTTGGCCACCCCTCTCCCCACCAGCGCCCACCCCACAATCTATCCCACCCAACCCCACACCACACCACCCCACCCCTCACCTTGTCACTGGACTGGCTGGTAAGTCCCGGCACCACAATCACAATCGGCACCTGCGATGTCCGCTCCGCCCTCCCTCCTGCCACCTGTGCCTCTCCACTCCCCTCCATTCCAGCCGCCCCTGCACCCTTCCCTTGGCCGCCCTTCTCCCCACCATCTGCAGGAGCTGGCAAGAGGCACTCCGGCAGAGGCGAACGGGAGAATGGGCAGGAAGGGTGCAGGGGAAAAGGTGAAGTGTGCGAAGTGACGGACACGGAGGAGGGTGTGTGTAGTGGGAGGAGGATAATTTTGTATATACTGACCCCAACAAAGTGAATTTGAGTTAACCATCACAACCTCACCCCATGCGCCCCCAATCACTCCCCTGCACCCACCTCCCAGCATCCCCCATCACCCACCTGCACCCCCACCACTCCCCTGCACCACTCACCTGCTGCTGCAGGCTCAGCCCAGTCGAGCCCGAGGGTGCCACCATCAGGGGTGCGCACCACATGCCTGGGCGTTGGGGGGAATTACGGGGGCGGTAGGGGGCGGTTGGGGGCGGTTGGGGGCGGTTGGGGGAGATGGGAGGGACGATTGGGGGTGAGATTGGCAGGGGCACTACGAGGCTGAGGGTGCCACCATCCCCTGTAAGACACCTTTCAGGAGGCACATGTAAGACAGTCTCAATAGCACATACACCTGACGCAAGGCACACTATTAAGAAGACACCCACTTGGTCTAGGGCACACTATTAAGAAGACACCCACTTGGTCTAGGGCACACTATTAAGAAGACACCCACTTGGTCTAGGGCACACTATTAAGAAGACACCCACTTGGTCTAGGGCACACTATTAAGAAGACACCCACTTGGTCTAGGGCACACTATTAAGAAGACACCCACTTGGTCTAGGGCACACTATTAAGAAGACACTCACTTGGTCTAGGGCACACTATTAAGAAGACACCCACTTGGTCTAGGGCACACTATTCAGAAAATACCCACTTGGTCTAGGGCACACTATTCAGAAAATACCCACTTGGTCTAGGGCACACTATTCAGAAAATACCCACTTGGTCTAGGGCACACTATTCAGAAAATACCCACTTGGTCTAGGGCACACTATTCACAAGATACCCACCTGATGTAGGGCAATCAATGAGCACACCCAACAGATGTAGGGCAAACTACGAGCACACCCACCTGATGTAGGGCACGTCGGGCGTGGGCGCGAGGAAGTGCACAAAGGTGGTCTGCAGGTGCGGACTGCACAGCCACGGCGTTGGCCAGAAGCTGCAGGGGAGGAGGGAGAGGGGAGGGGAAGGGAAGTAGAGGGAATGGGGAGGGGAAGGGGGAGGTGGAGGGGCGCATGGGGTGGGGCGCATAGAGGCACACGTGGGGCATACATGATCCATGGGGGCAGGTACGGGAGAGGGTGAACACACAGGTGCGGAGTGCAGAGCCAGAAGAGGGACACAGAGGGAGAGAAGAGGCTACAGGGGCGCACAGAAGCGTAACAAAGGCGCCAGATTGCAGAACGTTTTTTAGGCGCGTCAAAACAAGTGAGTTAATCGCAGACTCTGGGACTCCAAAAACGAATTTCTGGTGGCTGATCCGTAGCAGCGGCGCCAGATTCAGTTGAATCCGGCAATGATTCTACCAGATTTCGTTGAATCCGTCAAGGATTCGAGCAACCAGATTTCGTTGACTCCGTCAAGGATTCGAGCTACCAGATTTGGTTGAATCCGTCAAGGATTCGAGCTACCAGATTTCGTTGACTCCGTCAAGGATTCGAGCTACCAGATTTCGTTGACTCCGTCAAGGATTCGAGCTACCAGATTTGGTTGAATCCGTCAAGGATTCGAGCTACCAGATTTCGTTGACTCCGTCAAGGATTCGAGCTACCAGATTTGGTTGAATCCGTCAATGATTCGAGCTACCAGATTTGCCGCCTTCAGTGCGCTTTTGCACCTTCCACGCGTCAGTCTGACTGCCCGAATCCCCTCGCTTCCCAATCAGATCAACCCCTACGGCGTTACTTGACTGAATCCATACCCGCAACAAGCGAAGCCGCCATTAACTGCGGAATGCGGAAGCCGCCACTCACTGCGGAATGCGCATTCGCGCGAACACGGCGCGCGCCACGTTGGACCCGGCGTGGTGCACCACCTTCACCCTATCGCCGACGAACAAGTGGCTGACCACGTGCAGGTCGAACCAATTGTAGAGAAACGCCAGCAGCAGCGCAACGAGCGCCGCGAGCAGCAGCCACCACACGAGCGGCGGCAGCTGCGAGACGGCGAGAGCGACGGCGGCGATGGATTCAAGCAGCCACGGGAGGAAATATGGCGGAATCGCTACTGTCGAAAAAACGGCCTCGAGAGACGGGAATGACGTCATCTTGGAATGGAGTCTCGAGGTGTCAGGCGAGTGTGTGCGATCGACGGCGAGATTCTAAGGCGTCGCGCGCTCGCACGGCATAGAGTGCGAATGTGCGGATCGCAGAGCGTTGCTCACGGCGAGGGACGGTCGCAGAGCACGGCTGTGCCGTGAGGCAAAGGGATCTTTGTTCAAATGATGGCTGCGGTACTTTCTGCTGCCATGGGGTGGGGGGGATTCATTCAAGGCACGACGAAGTCATTCGTGTGGTGGAGGAGGGGCATGTGGAGGCGAAGCTGTGGCCCACATTTGTACTCGAGGTGTGGCGAGGAGGTATGGAATGGTGGCGAACGATTCGCGAACGATTCGCGAACGAGTTACAAAGACGACGAGCGAAGGTTGGAACACTGCGTATGTAGTTCAGTGTAAATCTGTCTACTTACAGAATGAATTAAGCTCTAACAATTTTAGTGGAACGTTACTTATACAGGTAAACTTCATATAAGATTGTAAATTATGATGTAATATTTTGTTCGAGAGCATATAACAGTTCTTCACTTTATTCGTTCAATGAAAGGTTAGGGCTGATTGTTATCTGAAACCATAGATTGCTTACCGGCATAGCTTTCAACAGAAATTTGTGTCTGAACAATCTGTATAACGCGGCCGACACAAAGCAGTGAGGCGCGCCGTCACCGTGACCCCGAAAAGCACTGCATAGGTTGACCCGCCGCAATCCCGCCAAATCCACTTCCCACCCACCCTCCTTCCGTGTGTGCACTGGACAAGGAGGCTTCACGAGGACGCTCTGTATTCAGTGTTTTAGGGCGGGTCAAAAGAGTACGTCCGATTACGGTTCACAAAGGTTAAGGCTTGATCCAGAGCGGTCTGCTTTAAATACAAGATGGTTGGGTAGGGTTTTCTGCGAATACGTGCAAAGTTTGACCCCCCCTTATTCATATCTCGCTTCTTCAACGTATATCTACGAACTCCGCTAACATTTCGAGTTAGGGTTTGGAAGTTCTAAGCAAGCCTCTTCGCGTCCATTTTTTAAAGCCCAAGACCTGAATTACAAAAAAAGGAAGGCAAACTGTGCACAGTTTGCCTACCGAACCCACAGTTGACCTCCCGAGCCAGGCTGGTTACCAGAAAACATTGCGCCAAGAAACACAGAGTCGTAGAGCAGAACAGGTTTGGTTGGCGAGAGTCCCAACCACACCCTCCTGAAGGAACAAGGGCTCAAAATGTGCACAATTTGCCTTCTTCGGTAATTCAGGTCGTGTGATTTCCATAGTACGCGAAGCGATTAGAGTATGCGAAGAGATAGAATAAAACGCCACTACAGCATAGGCCATGAGCATTTTCACTTTTATTCCTAGCTCTTTCCCAAACATCGCATTTGGACCTATCGCCTTCCGCGTCCCCCACGCTTCTCCCCACCGTCTCTCACACACCTCCCCACGCACACGCCCACTCTTCCCACCGTCGCCCAAGCTTTCCCCAACCGTCGCTCACGCTTCCCCTTATCGCCGCTCACGCTTCCTCCGGCCTTCCCCCACACCGTCGCTCACGCCTTTCCCCACCTTCCCTCACGTTTCCCCTCTCATCGCCCACGATTCCTCCCACCGTCGCCCACGCTTCGGAGCACCGTCACCCATGCTTTCCCCACCGTCGCCCACGCTTCCCCCCACCGTCGCCCACGCTTCCCCCCACCGTCACCCACGCTTCCCCCCACCGTCGCCCACGCTTCCCTCCACCGTCGCCCATGTTAGAGATTAAGGACGGAGTCTATGAAGATTAGGGGCTGAAATATCTCAAAATCGTCAACTACAATTCTGGACAGAAAAGTCGTCGTCACAAGAAACGTCGTCGACGAAAGGTCCACTGTTAGAATTCTTTCAAACTCGAGTATGTTGTAGCCCTTGACCGTGGCTATCCTTCCCAATTTGAATAGTATCAAAATATGGAGTATAACTCGAGTTATGAACTTCGGCGCACTAGGGGGTATGCTGCCATAGAAAACGTAACTCAATCACAATGATCTCACAAGTTCACACAAGAAAGTTAGAGTAGCAATAGAACCAGGTAGGAGGGGATGAGGAGGACGAGAGGGAAGGTCCCAAGGGAGTCCCCAACCAAGGACACCCCATACCACACAATTCCCCTCTCTATAGGCACCCCAACTTTGACATTTGTCACTTTCCCAACTCATGCCATCCACCTCACCCAACTTGGCCACACTTGCCAACCTGGTTTGGCACCTCCCAACCACTTGGCAGCATCTACAGTGATGTTGACGAATTTCCCAACCCCCAAGAGTCTGTACTCCTTATGGAGTCAACACCACAACTTCCCATAGTCACCACAACCAAATATCAAAAGCATACGAACTTCCAACGTTCGTAACTTTCTTGTTCGTGCTCCGATTGAAGCGATACTTGGTTCGTCAAAAAGCTCTTGAGCAGAGGAGTCACTTCAGATATATGCTCAAGCCAAATAACATTCACATACACACTCAGAAAATCCAAACAACACCAAACACAAATTCTTGCACACGCTCACACCACGCATGCAACACACGAACATATGATGGGAGGCAGACAGACGTGAATGCAAATGATAACATCACATAACAAACTCCCCCTCTGGCTGCCTACCATCATCCCATATGCCATAGCTCAAGCATGCACCCTCAATGCACACTCATCCCAGCAAGCTTCATGCCCTTCCAATGCTCAGATTCAGCCAGGCGCTTGGTGAGAATGTCAGCTGCCTGCTGATGGGTCTTCACAATCTCCAGCCGCACCTCCTTGTCCAGGAGCCTCCTCACCCAATGCCACTTAGGCCTGATGTGCTTCGTCAGCCCATGAAGGCAAGCGTTCTTAGCAAGCTTCACAGCCGACTCGTTGTCACAGAAAATCACAGTTGGCTCCTTTTGGCACACTCCGATCTCCTCCAACAAACGCCTCAGCCACACCGCCTCCTTTGCCCCATGATGCAGAGCCATGTACTCTGTCTCACACGAGGACTGCCCCACCTCGTTCTGCTTCTTGCTGCGCCAGCTCACTGCACCACCTCCAAACAGGCACACATAGCCTCCAATGCTGGTGCCATCCGCCTTCACAGAGTTGAAGCTAGCGTCGGTGTAGCAGGTCAGGAGCATCTCCCCCTTGCCCAAATCAGCTGCACCCCTCTGCAGCCTCTGTCGCACAGCACTGTACTCCAAGCCCACTGATGCTGTAGCGCTCACATAGCGGACCAACCTCTTGGCCGCTTCCAGCTGCTCATGACTTGGGCATGAAACCACACTCGCAAGCCTGGATGTAGCAAAGGCAATGTCAGGCCGCGTGTGGTTAGCCGCATAGTTGAGTGCCCCCACCATGGAGTGAAACAACTTCCTGTCACTCTCCCCCACCACCTCCTCATCAGCACATGGCTCCACAGTGAACCCCGAAGGCAGTGGGGTGGCTGGCTTTCCTGCATCTTGCAGCCCATACTTCTCAGCCAGCCCCTCACAATACTTCCTCTGGTGCAACCTCAACACTCCCTTGTCAAGGTCCCTCTCCACATGCATCCCAAGGTAGTACTTCACATCTCCCATCTTGGAGCACTTGAACTGCATTTCCAGCATCTCCTCCACACGTTCAATCATCGCAGACGACTCAGAGAAGAGCAGGATGTCGTCCACGTACACCAGGAGCATGAGGAACTGCTCCTTCTCTTGCAGCAGGAACAGGCTGTGATCACACTCGCTCTTCTTGAACCCCCCGGCCAGCAGTGTCTCCTCCAGCTTGTGGTACCATGCGCGAGGAGCCTGCTTCAGGCCATAGATGGCCTTCTTCAGCCTGCACACCCTGCCGCTCCCATCATCCAACCCCTCAGGCTGCAGCATGTACAGCTCCTCCAGAATGATTCCATTGAGGAAGGCAGTGATTATGTCCATCTGCTTGATCTTCCAGCCACGGTTTGCAGCCATTGCCAACATCGTCCTCAGTGTAGTGCCTTTCCCCACAGGAGCAAAGATATCATCAAAATCCTTCCCCTTTGTCTGCTGGAACCCCTTAGCCACAAGCCTTGACTTGTAGCGGGTCAGCTCCCCATCAGGTCCGTACTTGTGCCTGAAAATCAGCTTGGAAGAAATGGCCTTCTTCCCTGGAGGCAGCTCACACAGCTCCCACGTCTCATTCTCCAGCAGAGAGTCATACTCCTCCTTCACACTCTGCTTCCACATCTCAGCATCGGGCCCACTCAAGGCCTCGGTAAGTGTCTTGGGCTCAGGGACGGCTGCCAAGTAGCAGTACGCTATCTCTTCCTCATCACACTGCTCAGCCACACTCCCAGCCCGTACCACACTTGGCTTCCCAAAGCTCGGATAAGTCAGCCGGTTAGGAGGGCGCACATCCCTCCTTGGACGGTCAGCCGGACGTGCGGCACCTTGTGGAGCATCTTGCTGCTGCTGCTGCGGCTGCTGCTGCTGCTGCTGCTGCTCCTCCACCTCAGGTTCTCCCCCATCCTCAGTCACCCTAGAAATCTCCTCCTCTGAGACAGTGACCTGCACTTGCCTCGAAGGCCGCTGCACCTCATCGGCCTCAATGATCAGTGGTGTTGTAGGAAGCTTCTGCTGCTGCTGCTTCCACTCTTTGTAGTACAAGGACTCAAGGAACTTCACATCCCTTGACACAGTCAGCTGCTGGCTGGTCAAGTCCCAAATCAGCCAGCCCTTGTGATCCTTAGCAAGCCCCAAGTGCACACCCCATCTCCCAGAAGCTTCCAGTTTTCCCCTCTTCTCCTTAGGCACTTGAAACACCACCATGCACCCAAAGGCTCTCAGCATGTTCACAGCTGGTGCACTCCCATACCACTTGGTGTAGGGGACCCATTGCTTGTCCCCCACTGTCGCCAGCACCCTGTTCTTCACAACAGCGACCTGCCGCAGTGCTGTTACCCAAAACGGATCCGGCAGCCCTGCACGCCCAAGGAGAGTGCGAGCACCTTCCTGCAGGGTCCGGTTGAACCGCTCA